GAGTGGGCACTGTGTATATTGTTAGTGTAGAGTGGGCACTGTGTATATTGCTGGGATAGAGTGGGCACTGTGTATATTGTTAGGGTAGAGTGGGCACTGTGTATATTGGTGGTATAGAGTGGGCATTGTGTATATTGTTAGGGTAGAGTGGGCACTGTGTATATTGCTTGGATAGAGTGGGCACTGTGTATACTGCTGGGTTAGAGTGGGCACTGTGTATATTGTTAGGGTAGAGTGGGCACTGTGTATATTGCTGGGATAGAGTGGGCACTGTGTAAATTGTTAGTGTAGAGTGGGCACTGTGTATATTGCTGGGATAGAGTGGGCACTGTGTATATTGTTAGGGTAGAGTGGGCACTGTGTATATTGGTGGGATAGAGTGGGCATTGTGTATATTGTTAGGGTAGAGTGGGCACTGTGTATATTGCTGGGATAGAGTGGGCAATGTGTATATTGTTAGGGTAGAGTGGGCACTGTGTATATTGTTTGGGTGGAGTGGGCACTGTGTATATTGCTGGGATAGAGTGGGCACTGTGTATATTGCTGGGATAGAGTGGGCACTGTGTATATTGTTAGTGTAGAGTGGGCCCTGTGTATATTGTTAGGATAGAGTGGGCCGTATATTGTTAAGTTATAGTGGGCACTGTGTATATTGGTGGTATAGAGTGGGCATTGTGTATATTGCTGGGTTATAGTGGGCACTGTGTATATTGGTGGTATAGAGTGGGCACTGTGTATATTGGTGGGATAGAGTGGGCAATGTGTATATTGTTGTGGTAAAGTGGGCACTGTGTATATTGTTTATATAGAGTGGGCACTGTGAGTATTGTTGATACAGAGTGGGGATTGTGCATATTGTTAGGATAGAGTGGGCACTGTGTACATTGTTGTGGTAGAGTGGGTACTGTGTATATTGTTGTGATAGAGTGCACACTGTCTATATTGGTGGGGTAGTATGGGCACTGTGTACATTTTTGTGGTAGAATGGGTACTGTGTATATTGTTGGGATAGAGTGGGCACTGTGTATATTGTTGGGATAGAATGGGCACTGTGTATATTGTGGGGTAGTGCGGACACTGTGTATATTGTTGTGGTAGAGTGGACACAGTGTATAAGGTTGATATAGAGTGGGCACTGTGTATAGTGTTGATATAGAGTGGACACAGTGTATATTGTTTATACAGAGTAGGCACTGTGTTGTGGTAAAGTGGGCACTGTGTCTATTGTTGGTATAGAGTGGGAACTGTGTATATTGTGGGGTAGTGCGGACACTGTGTATATTGTTGTGGTAGAGTGGACACAGTGTATAAGGTTGATATAGAGTGGGCACTGTGTATAGTGTTGATATAGAGTGGACACAGTGTATATTGTTTATACAGAGTAGGCACTGTGTTGTGGTAAAGTGGGCACTGTGTCTATTGTTGGTATAGAGTGGGAACTGTGTATATTGTGGGGTAGTGCGGACACTGTGTATATTGTTGTGGTAGAGTGGACACAGTGTATAAGGTTGATATAGAGTGGGCACTGTGTATAGTGTTGATATAGAGTGGACACAGTGTATATTGTTTATATAGAGTGGGCACTGTGTATATTTTGTTGTGGTAGAGTGGGCACTGTGTATATTGTTGATATAGAGTGGGCACTGTGTATATTGTTAGGATGGAGTGGGCACTGTGTATATTATTATGATAGTGTGGGCACTGTGTATATTGTTAGAATGGGGTGGGCACTGTGTATATTGTTAGAATGGACTGGGCACTGTGTATATTATTATGATAGTGTAGGCACTGTGTATATTGTTATATTGTTAGAATGGGGTGGGCACTGTGTATATTGTTAGAATGGACTGGGCACTGTGTATATTATTATGATAGTGTAGGCACTGTGTATATTGTTAGAATGGGGTGGGCACTGTGTATATTGTTAGAATGGACTGGGCACTGTGTATATTATTATGATAGTGTAGGCACTGTGTATATTGTTAGAATGGGGTGGGCACTGTGTATATTGTTAGAATGGACTGGGCACTGTGTATATTATTATTATAGCGTGGGCACTGTGTATATTGTTAGGATGGAGTGGGCACTGTGTATATTATTATGATAGCGTGGGCACTGTGTATATTGTTAGAATGGAGTGGGCACTTTGTATATTATTATTATAGCGTGGGCACTGTGTATATTGTTATTATAGCATGGGCACTGTGTATATTGTTAGGGTGGAGTGGGCACTGTGTATATTGTTAGGGTGGAGTGGGCACTGTGTATATTGTTATGATAGCGTGGGCACTGTTAATATAGGTGCGGTATATTATGAAAATATTAGTCTCCTCCAATTATATTTTTTCAAATTGCCTACTTTTTACAACATACATACAACAAACTACTTTTATCATACAAAATGATAAGGGATGAATATGAGAAAAAATGAAGAGAATGAAAGAGAGATCGAGTGATGGAGATGAATGACGGGTAAGGTCTGCTGTGCACAGGTGACGACAGGGCAGACAGGATGGCACCATGGTACTGCCACATAGACTACGGATCCAACAACAACCCAAGGAGGCCCTGATCTCAGTCCCTACCCCACGTCCCCATATCATGCCCATCTCGTGACTGGTCGTGGCCATGGGGTACCAGTGTATAGGACTATTATAACTTTCTTCCTGTAACCAAGGATACTGTCACCCAGGGTAACGAGATGACTTAGGAGGAATGGGATTGCAGATAGTAACCGGATGATTTTACTTGCTAATTGTTATTCTTATTATTCTAATTAGCAGTAATTAGTCGTGGTAGTATTATTGGTATAGCAGTAGGTAGGATTAAAGGAAGCATCAGCAGTATTAACAGTATTAGTAATATCAGTATTATTATTTTTACTATTAGCAGTCTCATTATATCACTAGTCATATATTATCATTATTATTACTGCAGTCCTTCTGCAGGTTATTTAGATGTGTGATGTCATACAATGAAGTGATGTACAGTTTGCATCACGATCAGTTGTTGGTAGACTCTGCAGACTTAGGGAACTTTGAAAGTCCAGCTTCTTTATTATTATACTGTTATACAGTTATTATTTACGGCATTCTCCGCTATCAGTCAGTATGGTCAGTGCTGTTCAGATACATTACTTGGCCATTTAGGAAGTTGATTGTAAAACAAATCTGCATTCACTATAAACAGCCAACTGTTTCTATTAGTTACTATGATGCTCTATATCTATACTATGATTGGGTCCATTGACTCTGTAATTGGATTATGATGTGTCTTTCTGATATACCGGCTGTATGGTGTATGCATAGTGTATCTGTAATCTCTGTGTATCACTCAGCCAGCAGAGTTGGGCAGGGGAGGCTGGATGCAGGGTCCTTGGCCAGGTTAGGTAGCCAGTCTGGAGGGGGTATGATGGGGTCTGTGAGAGCCAGAGCCAGAAAGGGACATGAAGGGTTAAGTCTGTATTCATTTAGTGTTGTTGCAGCTCAAGTGGCCTCAGGCAAGGGGAGAAATGACCCCGCTAGCAGCATCCAGATGTGGCAGGCTCTGGGGACTTGGGATGCAGACCCCTGGATTGTAAAGCAGACAGGAGGAGGGGGAGGTAAAGTGAGGGGTGTGAGTACCCTTCACATTTCCTTGCTCTACCCCCTTTACAGTCTACATGGAGACAGACCCTCCCTCCTTTACCTACAGCAACCAAACCCCATACACCCCCACTCTGCATCTGCACTGGAAAATCTACTTGAATTGATGAGGCTAATTTCAGAGGGGGGAGGGATAGAGAGAAAGAAAAAATAATAAGGGGATAGAAGTAGTTGGAGAGAAACAGAGAGAGAGTTACAAAAAGAGAAATTGGGAGACTCAGCCACCTACTGGGAATAGCAAACAAATGGCCACATAGGGATAGGACACCTCCAGAACCCATCCAGAGGAGGAAGAGACCTCCAGAACTCAACCAGAGGAGGAAAATACCTCCTGAACCCATCCAGAGGAGTAGGACACCTCTAGAACAAATCAAAGGAGTAGGACTCCTCCAGAACCCATCCAGAGGAGGAGGAGGATACCTCCTGGACCCATCCATAGGAGAAGGACACCTCCAGAAACCATCCAAAGGAGGAGGACACCTACAGATCTCAGTGAAAGAAGGACACCTTCAGAACCCATCCAGAGGAAGACACATCCAGGACCTATCCAGGGGAAGTGGGCACTTCTAGAAACCATACAGTGGGGTAAGATACCTCTAGAACTCGTTCAGAAGAGTAGGACACCTGTAGAACCCACCCAGAATAGGAGGACACCTCCAGAACCCATCATTGTACCTGTGGATATATATTCAACTTTTCTGTGCACTCCCTGGATTAGCTGAACATGCATGTTAAGAAGATTGTGGAGCATAGAAAGGTCAGTGAATGTTATACCGAGAGGCAAGGTATATGGTGAAAATTAAAAGTAGAGAATAAAGCTTTCTCTGTCAAAGTATACAAGAATTTACCCATTTCACCGCTAGAAAGGATGTGGCTTGCTCTCTGTGTGTATCTGTTAGTGCTTCCAGCACCCAGACTTATGGAAGGCTCTGGCCAGGGAGGAGTTAATAGGATATATCTTAAAAAGAGATGATTTATTTTATAGTGTCCAGTAAAGCTGTATTAGCCATGTGGACATGTTACTGTGTATCTCTGGGCTGACTGTATGTGTCCATATATTGCATTGCATTGTAGCTCTCAGTGATCATTTCCTGCTGAGCTCAGTGAGGAGTGGCTGGCTGGCAGTGATGGGAGCTGTGCCATAAACTGTTTATTGTATGGACCAGACTGGTGTTGGCAGGGGATGCTGGGGGATGGGGGATTTTGGGGTGCCCAGTTAGAGTGAGCTGGGGTGCAGGCTGTGGAGGAAGGGACCTGCCTGGAAATTATTTAGGAATTGTCCCCAGCTTATCTCCCTGTGCCACATATCCTGTCTATGTGTAATGCTGGAGAATGCACTCACCCTGCTGCTTCCTCCTTCACAAAACCAGTGACTTCACTTCCCAAAATTAGCAAAAAAAACTTTCATCCGGTGAAGTGTCTCTCTGTGTCTCTGCCACAATCAGAGTGAGAGAGACCGGGACACTGACAGACAGACAGGCAGGCAGGCTCTCCGCTCACCAGGTCAATGAGTGGCACCGCAAGGGGTTCTCCTGCACTCAGCTTCATATGGACGGGACCATCAAGGTAAGGGGCTCCTGACAGGAGATAGGGGCCCGGGACACCGGGGAGGGGGAACTCGGCCAGGTCAGGGGCTCAGCTTAAACTGGAGATGGGGGGCGGGGGCACAATCTGGTACCCCCACAAATTGCCCCCCTCATCGCTTTATTTACCATTACTGGCTCCATTCACCATCACTTTCACCAGAATTCTCTCTGTGCATCATTACTGTGTGAATTCAGCATCACTCACTGCTCACCATGACTACTCACCATCAATCACTCTCAATCTGCTCACCATCACTCACCTTCTCTCCATCTACTCACCATCACCCACCTCTCCATCTACTCACCATCACTACTCACCATCACCCACCTCTCCATCTACTCACCATCACTACTCACCATTACTCACCTTCTCTCCATCTACTCACCATTACTCACCTTCTCTCCATCTACTCACCATAACCCACCTCTCCATCTACTCACCTTCTCTCCATCTACTCACCATCACTACTCACCATCACTCACCTCTCCATCTACTCACCATCACTCATCATGTACACAATTACTCTGTTCACATCACTTTCTCTATTCACCATCACTTTATTCACCGTCTCTCACTCTATTCACTATCACTTTCTAAACTCTTAATCTATTTTCTCTCTTTCTCTCTCTCTCATCACTTTATATCTCTTATTATCTATCTCCCTGGTATTTATCGCTTTATTCAGAGAAGTGCGGGTTTCCAGCCTTATATAAAATTAGGAAGCCAAAGTTATTGTGCAACTGCGGTTAGATGGGGATAAACGTGACACCCAGCCTGGCTCCCTCTGTATAACCACACATGAGTAATAATATAATACTGTGTATAGAGACTGGGCTCCTCTGTATAATAATATAATAATCTGTATAGAGACTGGGCTCCTCTGTGTAATAATATAATACTGTGTATAGAGACTGGGCCCCTCTGTATAATAATATAATACTGTGTATAGAGACTGGGCCCCTCTGTATAATTATATAATACTGTGTATAGAGACTGGGCTCCTCTGTATAATAATATAATACTGTTTATAGAGACTGGGCCCCTTTATATAATACTGTGTATAGAGACTGGGCTCCTCTGTGTAATAATATAATACTGTGTATAGAGACTGGGCTCCTCTGTATAATAATATAATACTGTGTATAAAGACTGGGCTCCTCTGTATAATAATATAATACTGTGTGTAGAGACTGGGCTCCTTCTGTATAATAATATAATACTGTGTATAAAGACTAGGCCCATCTGTATAATAATATAATACTGTGTATTGAGACTGTGCCCCTCTGTATAATAATATAGTACTCTGTATAATATTAATATAATACTGTGTATAGAGACTTGGCCCCTCTGTATAATAATAAAATAATGTGTATAAAGACTGTGCTCCTCTGATATAATGCTCTGTATAGAGACTAGGCCCCTCTGTGTAATAATATAATACTGTGTGTAGAGACTGGGCTTGCTCTGTATAATAATATAATACTGTGTATAAAGACTAGGCCCCTCTGTGTAATAATGTAATACTTTGTATAGAGACTGGGCTCCCTCTGTATAATAATATAATACTGTGTATAGAGACTGGGCTCCCTCTGTATAATAATATAATACTGTGTATAGAGACTGGGCTCCTCTATGTAATAATATAATCCTGTATATAGAGACGGCCCCTCTGTATCATAATAATAATAATAATAATAATATAATAATACTCTGTATAGAGACTGGGCTCGCTCTGTATAATAATATAATACTGTGTGTAGAGACTGGGCTCTCTCTGTACAATAATATAATATTGTGTATAGAGACTGGGCCCTTCTGTGTAATAATATAATACTGTGTATAGAGACTGGGCCCCGCTGTGTAATAATAATAAAATACTGTGTATAGAGACTGGGAACCTCTGTATAATAATATAATGCTCTGTATAGAGACTAGGCCCCTCTGTATAATAATATAATACTGTGTATAAAGACTAGGACCCTCTGTATAATAATATAATACTGTGTATAGAGACTGGGCTCCTCTGTATAATAATATAATGCTCTGTATAGAGACTAGGCCCCTCTGTATAATAATATAATACTGTGTATAGAGACTGGGCCCCGCTGTGTAATAATAATAAAATACTGTGTATAGAGACTGGGAACCTCTGTATAATAATATAATGCTCTGTATAGAGACTAGGCCCCTCTGTATAATAATATAATACTGTGTATAAAGACTAGCCCCCTCTGTATAATAATATAATACTGTGTATAGAGACTGGGCTCCTCTGTATAATAATATAATGCTCTGTATAGAGACTAGGCCCCTCTGTATAATAATATAATACTGTGTATAGAGACTGGGCTTGCTCTGTATAATAATATGATACTGTGTATAAAGACTAGGCCCCTCTGTGTAATAATATAATAATGTGTATAGAGACTTGGCTCCTCTGTATAATAATAATATAATAGTGTGTATAGAGTATAATAATATAATGCTGTATATAGAGACTGGGCTCCTCTGTGTAATAATATAATCCTGTATATAGAGACTTGGCCCCTCTGTATAATAATATAATGTGTATAGAGACTAGGCCCCTCTGTACAATAATATAATAATGTGTATAAAGACTAGGCCCCTATTTGTAATAATATAATACTGTGTATAAAGACTGGGCCCATCTGTATAATAATATAATACTGTGTATAGAGACTGTGCTCCTCTGTATACTAATATAATGCTCTGTATAGTGACTAGGTCCCTCTGTGTAATAATATAATACGCTGTATAGAGACTTGGCTCCTCTGTATAATAATATAATACTGTGTATAAAGACTAGGCCCCTCTGTATAATAATATAATACTGTGTATAGAGACTGGGCTCCCTCAGTATAATTCTATAATACTGTGTATAAAGACTAGGCCCCTCTGTATAATAATATAATATTGTGTGTAGAGACTGGGCTCCTCTGTATAATAATATAATACTGTGTATAAAGACTAGCTTCCTCTGTGTAATAATATAATATTATGTATAAAGACTGGGCTCCTCTGTATAATAATATAATACTGTGTGTAGAGACTGGGACCCGCAATATGATAATAATAATAATAATATAATAGTGTGTATAGAGTATAGTAATATAATACTGTGAATAGAGAATGAGCTCACTCTGTATAATAATATAATGCCGTGTATAGAGACTGGGCTCCTCTATGTAATAATATAATCCTGTATATAGAGACTTGGCCCCTCTGTATAATAATATAATACTGTGTATAGAGACTGGGACCCTCTGTATAATAATAATAATGTTGTTTATAAAGAATGGGACCCTCTGTATAATAAAATAATACTGTGTATAGAGACTAGGCTCCTCAGTATAATAATATAATACTTTTTTTTAGAGACTGGGCTCCCTCTGTGTAATAATAATATAATACTGTGTATAGAGACTAGGCCCCTCTGTATAATAATAATAATAATAATATAATGCTGTTTATAGAGAATGGGACCCTCTGTATAATAAAATTATATTGTGTATAGGGACTGGGCCTCCCTGTGTAATAATATAATACTGTGTATAGAGACTGGGCCCCTCTGTATAATAATATAATACTGTGTATAGGGACTGGGCCCCTCTGTATAATAATATAATACTGTGTATAGAGACTAGGCTCCTCAGTATAATATTATAATACTTTTTTTTAGAGACTGGGCCCCATTGTATAATAATATTATAATACCATGTATAGTGACTGGGCCCCCTCTATAAACTAATATAATACTTTGTATAGAGACTGGGTTCCCTTTATATACAGATATCCCATGTTATCCCCGTTTGTCCCTCGTTCTTAATGTGTGTGACATAAAGTACATATGAACCAGAAAACATTAAAGGATTACTATAGGGTCATGAACACAAATGTAGCTCCCCTCTTGCCACCCTAAATATAGTAAAATCTTACTTGTATTCAAGTCTGCTCCTGGCTCTGCCCCTGTCTACCTCTGACTTGCCCCTGTCTGCTGACATCATCAGAAGTGGTGGTCTGAACCAATCACAATGCTTCCCCATAGGACTGCAGAAACTGTGAAGGAGTCAGATCATGGGCAGAGCCAGCATGATTCAAACACAGCCCTGGCCAATCAGCATCTGATCACAGAGATTAATTAAATCAATGCATCTCTATGAGGAAAGTTCAGTGTCTGCATGCAGAGGGTGGAGACACTGAATGGCAGTGCTGCACATTAGGCAGGACTGCTTAAGGAAGCAACTTTAGCAGCCATCTGAGGAGTGGCCAGTGGAGGTATCCCTAGGCTGTAATGTAAACACTGCATTTTCTCTGAAAGCCTGAAGGTAATGATTCTACTCACCAGAACAAATCCAATAAGCTGTAGTTGTTCTGGTGACTATAGTGGCCTTTAATTTGTTTTCTATAATATTTTATTCAAATAAATAAAATACATATTTTGAAAAGTTGTTTATGTTTCTTGAATGTATCCAAGAGAGTGTAGCAGTAGATGGTTGGTATATAGAGTGTAGCAGTAGATGGTTGTTATATAGAATGTAGCAGTAGTAATATAGAGTGTAGCATTAGATGGTTGTTATATAGAGTGTAGCAGTAGATTGTTGGTATATAGAGTGTAGCAGTGGTAATATAGACTGTAGCAGTAGATGGTTGTTATATAGAGTGTAGCAGTAGTAATATAGAGTGTAGCAGTAGATGGTTGTTATATAGAGTACAGTAGTAGAGGGTTGTTCTATAGAGTGTAGCAGTAGTAATATAGAGTGTAGCAGTAGATGATTGTTATATAGAGTACAGTAGTAGAGGGTTGTTCTATAGAGTGTAGCAGTAGTAATAGAGAGTGTAGCAGTAGTAATATAGAGTGTAGCAGTAGAGGGTTGTTATATAGTGTACAGTAGTAGAGGGTTGTACTATAGAGTGTAGATGTAGATGGTTCGTATATAGACTGTAGCAGTAGATGGTTGGTATATAGAGTGTAGCAGTAGTAATATAGAGTGTAGCAGTTATTCTATAGAGTGTAGCAGTAGTAATATAGCGTAGCAGTAGAGGGTTGTTCTATAGAGCGTAGCAGTAGTAAATCATGAGTAATCCCTGGTCAGGAATTATTTATCTAATTAATCCAAATTAATCTCTTTAAACCAATTCTGCTGTCTGGTGCTTTGTAAATTGAAAAATCCAAATTAATAATGAATTTTAACGTAGCCCCCTTTGCATTCACATATATTGTTCCTACGCCTGGCAGGGCACCAAGGTTTCTTCTAGTGAACGTAGCGGCCACAGAATATGTGAGCTCTGTGTATAATGTTGGGTTTGTCCACACACCCGGGGTGGGAATACTTTTGATCTGTGTATTTTCTACTGAAATCTGCTGACCTGATGGATAAATACTGTTAAGAAATAATAAACCACCAAGTGAATGTGTTTGATTACATCCAAGACTGAAGATTACTTTCACAGAGAAAGCAGTTTATAGCATGAAATGTCTGTCTGTCTGCTGTAACATGTCATTTTAAATATATAATATTCATGAAAGAAATTGAGCATATAACATAACATACAATACACGTATAATATATACAACACAACATGTAAATATAATAAAATGCATATGTAATACAAAATACACATAACACAACATTCATATATATATATACAGCATATATATAACACAACATTCATATTATTTAAAATATATAACTCAACATGCATATAACATAGCATGCATCTTCATGTAAGTCATTTTAGTCAGTATGCACAGGCTATGTCTCTGTTTGTATAAAGGGCTGCTGTGTTTATCAATGATATGTACTATTAAACGGGATTCCTTGGAGTATGATGGACAAGGTGTAACTTTGTCTGCCCTACAATGTACCCTCAAAACGCTAAGGGATTTCTTCGCTAAACAGTGAACTGTGGGATGTTCTAAATGGATATGGAAAAATGAAGCCAAAATCTTCAGCAGAAATCACCAGTTGCAAAGCCAGGATATTTGTTACAATTTGATTGTAACAAACACACCATTTAGGGAATATTCCCCATGGGCCGTGATCCTACTAGATGGATCCTTGTATGAATTTTAAAGCTCATCGGGGTTATTTACTAAATTGTGCATCATCCAGAATTCAGGTTTAATTTTAGGGTTCAGGCAGAAATGGCAAAACTGGAAACAGCAAGGAAGATTTGTTGGCTATTTTGGGCTAAAACTTGAATTCTCAGCAGTTTGCAATTTGTCTCTGATCCGACTCCCGTCTCTTAGTGATTAATCTTTATCTGAGAATGCTCACTGGGTTATAACTGAGCTTTCATTATTAACTCCTACATTCATTATTGTAGGAATCATTTCCTAATAGATTGAAAAATAAATTATATTTCTGTTTGTTTGTTTGTTTGTTTTGTTTTGTGTAAGCAGTCTGTATTCGCCATTTTGTTTTCTATCCAATGGGTTGCTTCATTTGAAATAAAATCACATTCCTCAATCTGTGTGTGATTAATACGATGTAGCATTAATGTATGATGTATAGTGTGACCAGGCCCACCCACAGGTCTTCTAGTGGAGGGTAGCACAGCTTAGTGGACGTGGCCCACTGTAAACAGAGTATACTTGGTGGTAACTTGCCTTTGGTTCTTGTCAGAGATCATCTTGGTGTTGCCTTTTCATTTTATGCCTCCAATCTGGGACTGGCTGGCAGATTAACTATTGGGTGTTCACTTAAGTGTGAATTATTGGTAGTTTGAAGTAATTTCAGAGTGAATTTCAAACCTTAAAGGGACACTCCACTGCTCAAATGAAAAAATAAATTTAAAAAAAATGCACTGCTTAGGAGCTATACCACATCAAATTTTTTTTATATGGGAGTATATATAAAACAGCTTGTAATAGCTGCATATCCCTTTTCCGCAGCCTATACAAGCCCTCCCCTTCTAACCCCGCCCAGACTTTCTGTGGCTGTCCAATCACAGACTTCCTAATGCAGCTCAATGAGAAATCTCTGCAAGGCAGGTGCTCTGGGCAATTGCTGCATCTTGAGTTTATCTCCACTGAGCTAAACAAACCAGGAAGTAACAGGATTAATAATCTGATTGACAGCTGGAGGCATGTAGCCAGGTTATTTTATAAAAATTAATTAAAAATGAGACTCTCATCAAACATAAAGCATTTATAGCAAGCTAGTGGTCTAGTGTGTCTCTTTAAGCCACAATAGACCAATTGGAAATATCTCACAAGTAGTTTTGTTTTCAGTTTGGCTATTCTTGGCTGGAATGACAGATTCATTTTGATTTCACTATGAATCCTGCGTATTCAGTATGAAAACAGCAAAAAAAGAACATATGCTTGCATGTATAGACATGGGAATCACGTTTAAAAGGGAAGTTCTGGAAGTGTAGGAATCTACAGAAACATTCCATCGGTTTCCATGGAGACTGCTCCACTTTTAAAATTTGCACTACTTCCCTTTATACATGTGCTGCATTAGGTGCACCTGCTGGTTAATGTAAACAGCCAAACAGTGACTCATGTGTCTGTAACTCAATAAATAAGACATGTGAGATATAGTCCAAAATACCAGAGAGCAAAAACGGTAACTGGAGAGTTTTTCTTTCTCGTTCAGTTATTTTTCTGGCGTACATATTCCAGGGCCCTAAATTAAATACAACAATTCATGCATAACTCACCCCAAAGTATGTTCCAGCCTCCAGTGGACAGAGATAACAGCCAGCCTCTGATAACTACACACAGGGTCAGTGACATATAATGATCAATACAAGTTTGGCTTTATTGAATACAGTATCCCAGGGCTCAATCTGTAATGTCTTTACTGCAGAAATTCCACTCTAATTTAATCTTTCATTGCTCACCTCCCTTCTCTTATACTTCACCCTCTCCTCAATCATCAAACCCAATACCTCTATCTTTCCTCATTCATCAAACCCAATCCCCCTACCTCTCCTCAATCATAAACCCAATCCCCCTACCTCTCTTCATTCATAAACCCAATACCCCTACCTCTCCTCATTCATAAACCCAATCGCCCTACCTCTCTTCATTCATAAACCCAATACCCCTACCTCTCCTCATTCATAAACCCAATCCCCCTACCTCTCCTCAATCATAAACCCAATATTCCTACCTCTCCTCATTCATAAACCCAATACCCCTACCTCTCCTCATTCATAAACCCAATCCCCCTACCTCTCTTCATTCATAAACCCAATACCCCTACCTCTCCTCATTCATAAACCCAATACCCCTACCTCTCCTCAATCATCAAACCCAAACCCCCCTACCTCTCCTCATTAATCCTCACTATATTCCTACCTCTCCTCATTAATCCTCACTATATTCCTACCTCTCTTCATTCATCAAACCCAATACTACCTCTCCTCATTCATCAAACCCATTACCTCCACCTCTAATCATTATCAAACCCAATAATACCTCTCCTCATTCATCAAATCCGCTACCTCTACCTCTCCTCATTCATCAAACCCCATAGCCCTACCTCTCCTCATTCATCAAACCTCATTTATACGTCTCCTCATTTATACTCACTATACCGTTACCTCTCTTCATTCTTCACACCCAATACCCCTACCTCTCCTCATTCATCAAACTCGATATCCCTACCTCCTCTAATTCATCAAACCCAATACCCCTACCTCTCCTCATTCATCTAACCCACTACCCCTACCTCTCCTCATTCATCTAACCCAATACCCCTACCTTTCTTCATTCATCAAACTCACTACCCCTACCTCTTCTAATTCATCAAACCCAATACCCCTACCTCTCCTTATTCATCAAACCCACTACCCCTACCTCTCCTCATTCATCTAACCCAATACCTTCACCTCTCCTCATTCATCAAACCCACTACCCCTACCTCTCCTCATTCATCAAATCCAATACTCCTACCTCTCCTCATTCATCAAACCCAGGGTGGGTCCGTAGTACACATGCATTTCTCTATTTTCCACTGGGAACTCACTGCAGCCTCTTGTTGATTTCTCTAATACTTTTAATTTTCAAATACAATAAAAAGATACAATAGTTGGTTTACTCATCCTCAATCAGTTTTTCTACACTTTAGTTTTTCGTTTTTTTTTTTTCTGATATGCCTGCATTGCTAAAAGAGCTCTGAGACATTACTGCTAATAAGGAAATGTCTAAAAGCCTCTAATATCTCGCCATGATAATACGGACGTTAAGTTATTGCTAAAAGAATCACACTGTGGGTATTAAGTCCCTCCGTTTTATGCTCTCATGCACTCTCATTGCATTCCTGCCCTCCAATCTATCAAGCACTTATCCCCTCACATGATGATCCTTCCATGCCCAGTTTTCTCTCTGGCTCCCCCAGGCTATGCTGCTCCTCCCTTCTGTTCCCAGGTCTCTTACTCTCTAACCTCATCCTCCCCCTCTGTCCCCAGGTTTCCTTTATTCTCAGCGTGTTCCCCCTCTGTCCCCAGTTTTTCTTACCTCTCACTCTCCACCATCTTGGTTCCCAGGACTGTTCGATCCAAATCTTCTCACCCCCGACACCAGCTTATCTTTAAAGGTTCATGTTTAACCAAACAGTGTTGAATTCAACTCCGTCTAGCTTTGCCCCTCTTCTTCCACTTATGTCTCAAGCTTGAATTAGGAAGCCTCGGACAGGGGCGCTGTGATGGTAGTTACCATCACCAGGAACCTCAGACAAACACTTTGCATAGGACCCTGGACTAGTCCTATGTCTAACTCCTCCTGTGCCCATTATAGGTGCAGGCTGTGTATAACATATTTGTTTATTGTTAAAAAAAATTTGTAGTCTCCTGTCCTGCTGATGCTTGCTACAAACGGGGTGGATTTGGCTAAGGAGCCTGTATAGCACCCTCTGTTGGTAGCAACACTACCTGAATAGCAAGGCTTGTTAATTTGCATATTCAGGTAGATTTGGATATTATGGTTTCTGAAGGCAGGAGAGATATTTTGTGTTAGTTATTATTTTTCCCACCCCTTTATAAATATGTAATTGTGTTATTATATGATTTGCTTATTTGTATCTTATTTATCTTATTTCAGTTGTCACAGCAATGTAAATGTAATGAGAATAGTGGCTAGTCCTCAGTAAAAATAAAGCTGAGAATGTTCAATCGTTTTGGAACTTGAGCGATGTATATATATATCTTAAATATGTCAACTAATTAATGGAATCCCTGTTTGAAGCTATCTAAGGCTTCTTCATTCCAGCTTTACACAAAAGCAGTAGGAGAGGAGCCAAACACACAGGCGCTGGATTCAACACTTCGAGGTTAAACTGTTCTTTAATGGTTTAACCCCTGAAATAAGCCGATGCTAGGGATGCCCTGGCACCAAAACAACTTAATTCTTCTTTAAAGATGGATGGATAGAACACACATTTTATAAGGTGTAATAAAAATGACATGTAAACAAAAAAATGTATTAAATAATTTTTCTGATTTGGCTGTATTGATATATGCCCATGTAGCAAATCCCTGTGTAGTAAATAAACTTGTAGGAGGTAATTTTTCTTCCTATTCAGTTTTCTAAGTTCCTCTAAAGTTATTTGGATTGAGACAGCTTTGTAGAGTGACAGGATTGTGACTTTGGGTTTCCATAGGACAAGAGGTGGCTAACTTGCTCCTATTTTTGAATTTGGGCCTCAGCTTTTCTGTGAAGAATTCCATTAATTCCTCTATTCTCTTACAGATGTTGATCATGTTGATGTTGGTGTTTTCTATCAAACTACTTTTCTACTCTTACCCTTACCGTTTGTGTTGCTTTACCCCACTCCCTCTAGAATGTAGGCTCACTAAGCGGGTCCCTCAATCCATCTGATTCTGTGCATCCAACTCGTCTGGTTACAAATACATGTCTGTTAGTCCACCCATTGTGCAGCGCTGCGGAATATAAATAAATAATAATTTATATAAGTAAATAATAATGCAGGAAGCATTACCGATGGTGCCGCCATGATTGCATAGTATAGCTGTTCTAATGATGCCAATAAAAAGGTGCCCCCTGTAATAATTCATGGCTGCTGTGTTTGGAGAGCAAGCTTGGCTAGTGAGGAAGCTGGTTTCCTTAATCTATTCGCTGCAGAGATCTGTGTCTAATCTGAAGGTCGCAGGTCAGTTCCCAGCAGATCCTTTCATCAATCTAAGGTCATTGAATGAGCAACAAAGTGTCAGATAGGAGCCATGTTTTGTTGCTCACTGTAAATCACATGATGCCCCATTTATAAGTAAAGGATTTTTACTACATAATGGATTTAAAACTGAATTACAAAATATAATAATTGGAAACCTCTGCAACTCAGCTACACTCACAGCCCGGATATTCTAGCCTGAAGTTGGTGATTTAGTGGATAAACTGGGATATTTTATCTTCTAGAATGGCATCAGGAATTCATCATTTCAAAGATGTTCATCATTTTGGCTCATGTCAAATTATTGTCTTTTTCATCTTTGCTTGTATCATATAATTGGCATTCCAACCATAACAACCACAGTCATTGTGACTGCTCACACCATTAGTTTAGGCCTATCATTGAGGATTAGACCGTTCGGGTAATGTTCAGGGTTTGGATCAGCGTTAGGTTTAGGGTAATGGTTAGGCGGATTGCGCTATATTATGAGGCACGCTCTGATTTATTAAATCTAAATTACTGAAATCATTGTACGCAATCTACTTTTTGACAAAGTCTGTGTTATTAAATACATTTTATGTAGCACTTGACCTACTTTCAACTGTATACACTGACATTTCTGGAGGTTGATTTTAACAAGTCGTCATATCTAAGGTCGACTGGGAATAAGGAAGGAAAATGCAGGCGTCCAACTAATTAAACTTGTTAGACCTCTGAGCCTGGGACCAGCATTCAGCAATGTGTGTTCTTAACATCGAGACACAGATATTGCAGTTATGTTGCAGACGATGCACATGTTGCGGCAGTCTGAACACTTGCGTTTGTTTTGCATTAAACTCAGAGAACGTCAGCCAATAACCCAGGGAGTCAATTTGCAGTAAGATACTGATTATAAACTGCTTGTGATCTGGTCCAAGATATTGGAAGATGCAAAGAATGAATCGTTCCCAGATCAATTATAAAGGAACTCATGTCGTAACATGCTCTGCCGTGCTCCATAACGGTCACCATAGCGAGAATATAAACATGCTTCATTAGTGAAAAATATAAAAGAGTTTCAGAATATTTCACTAAAATGTTAACTGTCAGGAATTCAAAATTAATTTAAAGTAAATTTCAAATGTAGGTCCAAAATAGCTGAACGGAAAATATAGTTAATTTGAAAAATTTCCTTATTCAGACTTTTTTTGCATAAAATATTGGAATTCCCGTTGAATTCTTGACAATTCACACTTTAGTGGATAACTGTGTGTTCTTCTCACACTTACTACATGTGGCAATGATTGGAAATATATGATAGATATATATATATATATATATATATATAATAATAAAATAAAATTTTATATCTATTATTTCGACAACACATTATTTATTTAGAATGTTTATCTGAACATATTTTACCAAGACGGGCACATTGGGATTTTTTGTGATCTTAAGTATAATGAGCAAAATACAAATGTTACACATTTACTATGAGTCATACCCAGTGCAGGGTACATTAACAATGAGTGCAGTTAGGTGGATATTTGTAATTATTACTAACACCCATGTTACTGTGCATTATCACAAAGGGTAACATACTGTGTGTACTTACCACCTTGTGTACTTACCACCTTATGTACACATAAAGCAGTGTATCATTTTCTAAACTTATTGGCAATTATCAAAGGGACTGTAGCGGCTAAGGAGGAGCAATCGAACGGATATATATTTCTTCAGACTATTTTATTTCTAAACTCTTACAGGCACTGACCATGGTGTGAACTGGCTGACAATGAAATTAGTTAAAGGACCACTATAGTGCCAGGAAAACATACTCGTTTTCCTGGCACTATAGTGCCCTGAGGGTGCCCCCACCCTCAGGGTCCCCCTCCTGCCGGGCTCTGGGGAGAGGAAGGGGTTAAAATCTTACCTTTCTCCAGCGCCGGGCGGGGAGCTTTCCTCCTTCTCACCTTCTTCCTAGCGACGTCATCGGCTGAATGCGCATGCGCGGCAGGAGAGAAGCCTGCAAGCGCCTCTAGCGGCTATCAATGAGACAGCCACTCGAGGCTTTAGAGGCTGGATTAACCCTCAGTGTAAACATAGCAGTTTCTCTGAAACTGCTATGTTTATAGAAGAAAGGGTTAATCCTATCTGGACCTGGCACCCAGACCACTTCACTAAGCCGAAGTGGTCTGGGTGCCTATAGTGGTCCTTTAAGGTAAAGCTGACTTTGTGCTCTATGCAAATGCTCTTGCTGCGCCAGTTTCTCTAACACTGTGGCATATTCCCTTTCTGCTACACTCACTGCATACACTTTGTCTCTGCCCCAGACTGTATAACAGGAGCTTTTGCCTGCCAGTAAGAAGGGAAGCAGAGGAGTGGACCAGTGAGTGCTAGGGGACAGTCCTTAGAAAGCGTGGAGCGAGCGCATCATTAGACGCATTTATGCCAAGCTCAGGGTGCTCAGTGTAACACTGCACTCAATCTTCCAATCTTCAGGGTGCTGTCTGCATGGTATGCCCTTTGTTGGCCAGTCTTCATGATTGGCAGACAGCCTGTCAAGCATTTACACCTGGCTGACCATCTAATTCTTCAGGCAGACACTCCCCCTTTTTGGGCATGTTTGCCCCTTTGGGTAGTTCTGGTTATGTGATTCGCGTCAGTGGCCCACCGTTTTATCCTGCCCACGGACATTCTGCTTCACCGTACACTGCTGTTAGGGGGTATGGATTTACTTTAAAGATGAAAGTGAGAGATTAGCATAGGGTATGTTTTTTTCTGATAGCTATATCCTGTGATGTTAGTCCTTCATTTTCTTGCACTGTACAGGAGCCTGCAAGGATCAATTTGTGCAGGACTAATGAACATCATCTGGGGGTTTAGGAGGAGGTGGGATGGGTTCTGTTCACAGTAAAGGGGATATAAGCAAGCAGTGATGCCCTTCAAAATGCAAATTCACAAAAGCTACCGCACAACTTGATCGATTTTGATTTGACTATTTTGCTTGTGTACATCATAATTATTTATGCTTCTGGCATTTTTGGACTTTGCATTCCCAAACATGGCGATGGATTCCTTAAAATACTCATAAGCAAAGTTTTCATAATTTTTATCTATTTTTTTTAATCACACATACTCAACATGATATAAATGATATTTGTGTGCTACGTACCCCATTTTTCATATAAATAGTACGATACATTCCGCAGACTAAAATCAATCAATAATAAAGTAGTCACAGTAACCATCTGCGAGAACAACAAAAATAGTTTTATTTAACCATATACCTGTCAGTATACTCTAATGCATGACATTCCCACTGTCTAGATACACTGCGCTGTTAGCGAAGGATTTGTGCGATCTGACAGGTTATTACCAGGTTGGGGTTCATAGTTATTTAAAAATTTCCTTTTTGCCTCCAAAGTCATCTTGCTCAGACATTTTTATCAGCTCCAGAGAGATTTCCGTTTAAACACATCCAACACTTCCTGATCTATTTCCTCTGGTAGAACAAATATACCACCTGACTCGGTTTCCTTTGATACATGCCAAGGCTGTTGGACAATAGAGACAGGACAATGGGGTGTCCATGTGCTAAACGGTGCCATACAATGAGGCTTCATTTCCCACTGGGAGTCCAACTAATTTTTAGGTAAATATTAGTAATGTATGGGGTTATAAGGGAAAAAGAGTGATGAAAGAGCGGAGGGTGAATATTAAGGAGGCCAGTTTGTGATTAACCTGCTTCCTGAAGTCAGTTTTTATTGTTCACATCATGGTCGTTTAAAAAGTTCTGCATCGTTCCACATGTATTTTACTTGTATATTAAGGTATCAGGCTGTTGTGCAGATACACAAGAAACAGCATCTTGTCCTGTGATGGCTATCCCTGAAACCCAGACAGATCTGGGGTGCTAATGAACCCTATTACTGATTAATGCCACAAAGGTTTATTCGTGGCTTTAAGGAAGTGAGGTTCCAAACAAGAATTCATGGCTACTCAGGGCGTATGTGGTATAATTATAATAACGCGTTTATCGAGGAAAAGGGCAGCTCATCGTTCCCACAGAAGCTTTCCACTGATAAATTGGGTGCGTTTCTGTGTTCTGGGGAAAAAAATCACAAGTTTTACTGGCTTTATTAAAAAAAAATAACCTAGTTTTTTCCTCTTATAGCTTATAGGACCATATCTATCTAAAATGCTACAATTTTAAAGCAAATCTCTTTGTATTCATAAAAATAATCTTTTATGTATAGCGGCAAAGCTATAGAGAGACAAACAGATAATTCTGTTATTACAGAGATGTAACAGGGTAAAATCTATTTCATGTTGTCAGTGAGAAGATTGTTCATATTCTTTGGGCAGAAAAACAGCCCTGACCTGCAACCACAGAATGAGCAAGGGCTCTTTTTGCAGAAAATTACAGAAAATTCACTATTGTGTTATCTGTCAAAACACAACCAACCTTGGAGGCCAACAGTATGGCCTGTGAGCCTGTCTATATTCTGAAATGTCATACATTTGTCGTTTATAAACAATGTCTTGGTATAAACAGAACTGAACACGCTTTCTGAAATGTTATTGTAACACCTGTTGGTGCATTAATTCTCCAGTTTGTGATAGTTATTAGATTCATCAGCCATTTCTACTCTACTGCTGCAAAGATTGACATCTGTGGTTATAATATAAAATAATCAGTACCATCAGTGCTGCAGAAGCTAGCTTTTTATGGCTAAAAATACCAGCATAACTTCCTGCTTTTGTTTTTTTTTAAGCAGCATCTGTATTTTAGCTGTGCGCAGAATTAAAGGCGCACCATACAACCACAAGAGAATGAATGAACGAGAGACGTTTTAACTGTCGCTTAATCCTAATCAGCTCCTGTTCTTAAAATAACAGATTTTCAAGGCCTGATAAGAAAGCCACATCCAGGTATCTGGGGTCTGGGTATTTTGTTAACTCTTGTGCTAGGGACAAAAATGGAGTTTGGTACGCTTGCTTGAGCTCAGCCTTCATTAGTTCTGATTCCTGTAAGCTTAACATTTGTTTATCGTGACCTTTTTTTACCATATATGGCGCCAAATAAATACTGCTAATATTTATTATTTCCTGTTATATTTTGTTTACTCATTGTACAGCGCTACAGAATGTGTTGGCAGCTTGCAAATAAAACAAGCATATGTAAAGAGCAGCTTTGATACAATGTGCTAAAAAAAGAAGTAATCAGCAGGGACCGTCAAAAGGTTGCAACAGTGACTGCTCACATTTACTAATCATCTACATTTTTGAAAGTAAACTGAAAATGAAAAGTAATTGTCGTTCCACCTAATAGCCTGTGACAGAGAAAGCCAGCGAGTTCACCAGAGTGGAGGTGTTGGGCAGGAAGTGGTAATGTCTCAGATCTAAGTACAGTGTGCTGGAGATTGCTAAATTAATTTTGGGAGAGGGTGCACATTCAGAATATAGAAAATTTTTATTTAATGTTAAAAGCCCCAAAATAAAAGGTACATTTTGTGTTAATAGTTCAGTGCAAGATATCGAAAATTGTTTTTGTTTTTTTAAATCATTCATAATGTGCCTGTGGCATTTGTTGTATGTTTGTGTCATTTGTTGTGCGTTTGTGGCATTTGTTGTGAGTCTGTATCAAAGCCTGACCATAAGACTGTATTTGAGCTTGTTGGACATTCCGTTCCGAAACGGTGGGAATTATTATGCAGTTGGCCCCCCCTGTGTGGCATTCTTCTGGGAAGACTTTTTACAAGATTTTAGATGGTGTCTGGGGGAAATATGTGCCCATGCAGCCAAAAGAGCATTTGTAAGGTCATGCCCTGATGTTGGAACGGTAAGGTCTGGCTTGCGAGAGGCATCCTAATTTATCTCCAAGGTGTTCAGTGGGTTTGAGGTCGGGAGGTAAATGGGCCGCATTTAAAGTCACTGAACTCTTCCTGAGGATTTGTTGTTCTTCCAATGTTTGTCTATGGAGATCTCATGGCAACGTGTTGGGTTTTACCACCTGTTAGCTATGGGCAAGGCTCGAACACCTGAACTCAATCATTACTAAGGGTGTCCCCATACTTCTCCCCATATATTGTTATAAGGTGCCTTTAAAAAATAAATTGTCTCTTTTTTTGTCTCAGTGGAATTCAGTACAGAGCGATACATAGTAACAAAACAGAGGTTACCAGTATTAACAGAATAGTCTGTAAACTGAGTATTAAAAATGCAATTTGTCATCAGTGAGTGCAAAACTCCTCTTTTAGATTTGAAGGACAAAGTTCTACTTTCCTTTTTTTAAAGTTTATTACATTTACTGACACTTATTGATATATATATATTTTAACGATGTGTATTGAGTTTTGAGTAAATTTCACTTTTTTATCTGACTGAGAGGTCGTGTTGGGTCAAACCCTACTGTTATTTGACCAACTGCTGCTCAACCTAACTTCCCTGCTGTGATTACTCTGTGCGCTCTATGTGAACCTGGAGAAGTAGGTTAGGTTGAGCAGCAGTTGGTCAGATATCAGTTCAGCCTGACCCAACAAGGACGCTCTGCCAGATAAGATAATGTGTTCAAAAGAAAGGGAGAGAATGGGTGTGTTTCCATTTTTTTTTTTTTTTACAAGACCCCTAAATTTAGAATAAGGGAAAAAAGCGAAGCCATAAAAAAGTAGTGGTAAAATGGATAAATCCGATGTTCCCCAATAATAACTGATGGACCCCAATCACAGGGCTACGTTGGTATTGATGAAATCTTTGGGACCCCCATATTTTAATTTGGTTACGTTTTATGGAAGAGCAAAGTTTTGGTCACTAAGACTTTCGATGGTTACTTTTTTCTTTGATATTGATCTGTTGTATGTTAATCAGCCACCTTTAGGAAGGCAAAACTACTGGGCAGTGGGCACCAGCATCTGCCATGTATTGGTTGGCACAGTGGCCCTAGATTTATATGCCAGGAGGAGGCAGCATATGCATAACTCGTTTGATGTATACACGTTTACCACAAATGCATCCGTGTGTTTCAGAGTAAAATCTAAAAAGTACCTCCAAATTGCACTATGATTTTTTTTTAGCAAGATTTGATATTTTGTGATATTTTTCATTCAGATTCTTAAACAGGATCAGATGATTGCACGACATTGCCACAGTTGGTAATAGCTTTCTCTGTGAGTGCTTGGCAGAACTATGAAAATACGTCTCCTTGTTTCCTGCAGTCAGTATATCCCAGGGGCCGTTTAACCTGCCCACGGGGCAGAACTCAGACAGAAAGCCTTGTGTCAGACTGAAGTAATGAGGACACAGAGGAGAGAGTCCAGCTTTGCTCGCTGACAACACAAAACACACTTTTCTAAAAGGTGCCCGAAAGTAAAGCAGAACTGCTTACTTTGAGCATTGCCATCAGCCAAAAAACATTTTTTTTTTTTTACTTTTTAATGTATTCTTTTTGTAAGAGGAATAATCTAATCTCCCACCTTGGTTCTCTGTCTCTAACAGTTGTCAGAGAATAATAGGAAATAGGTAGTTTAACAGCAGTGGCTCTATATCTGTTTATCTTAAAGGGAAACTCCAGGCACCAAAACAACTTCATCTAAATTATGGTTGTTATGGTGCCAGGATACCCCTTGAGGCAACCTTATCTCAAGGGGCTTAACCGTTCTCGAACAGTTTAACCTCTAAGTTGCTTCCAGCTGCGATGTCCACTCCTCTCCTGGTGGCAATCAGTGACTACCCATTCACTAAACTGGCTTGGAAGAGGTAAGTTTGTTTCTAAGCCAGTTTAGTGAATGGGGAGTCACTGTTTGGCAGAGAGGGCCTGCTGACTGCTCTCAGCCAATCAGCGGCGCCCCTGCTTGGTGGCTCTCTGCGCTTCCTGTAAGTGAAAATTCAGAAGCTGGATGCTGCCTGGGGAGGAGTGGAAATTGCCACTGGAGGCCACTTAGGGGTTTAACCGTTTGAGGGATGTGAGTGGGGGTGTGACCAGGGTTGTGCTGTTCTGGATGTGAATTGGGTGTGAGGTTGGGGGGGCAAGGAATTTATGAGAAATTGTAGATTTCTTAATAATGTATACAGCTAAAATGTACTTTTTAACAAGAACAATGTATCTTATTTACACAGACTGATTTCTAAACACATTTATTGTAGTTTAAAGACACATTACTGGGAGTATAATCGCCGTGGAGTTCTGTTATACACTCAGAAACATTACTGGGAGTATAATTGCCGTGGAGCTCTGTTATATACTCAGACACATTACTGGGAGTATTATTGATGTGGAGCTCTGTTATACACTCAGACACATTACTGGGAGTATTATTGCTGTGAAGCTCTGTTATATACTCAGACACATTACTGGGAGTAGTATTGCCATGGAGCTCTGTTATTCACTCAGACACATTACTGGGAGTATTATTGCAGTGGAGCTCTGTTATACACTCAGACACATTACTGGGAGTATTATTGCTGTGGAGCTCTGTTATACACTCAGACACATTACTGGGAGTATTATTGCTGTGGAGCTCTGTTATACACTCAGACACATTACTGGGAGTATTATTGCTGTGGAGCTCTGTTACACACTCAGACACAATACTGGGAGTATTATTGCTGTGGAGCTCTGTTATACATCAGACACACCAACAGTATGGAGCTCAATATGGGACAATAAGATAGAAAAGTGGGACAGAGGGATTTGGGCCCAAAATATGGACTGTCTGTCCTAAATAGAGACATTTGGGAAGTATGCCATATCCAAGCAGTGCAGCAGTATGGGAAGCCATGTATGACATCATACCAGGTGAAATAAATTCTCTGCGTTTCAACATATGGGTACATTGTGTGGCGAAGTCTTCCCTTTAATACCACAACCTTTATAGCAAGCTTTGGATCTCAAAGATGTCCTCACACCCACTGTCAAAATAAATATGTGATTTTCATGAAGCAAAGTGCGTCTATGTGTGCTCCTGTTTCTAATTTGTGTTTCTGATGATTTACCGTGTAAAGAATTTGGCATGTCACGCGCCTCCACAGACGGACTAAGAAAACACAGGGCCCTGGGCAGTAACACACTGGGAGCACTCATACACTTTATGATAGTGGGAAGGCAGCTGTTAGGAGAAGTGGCCCCATAACCTCTGCCCAATGCAGAATGCCCCACATTAGAATGACCTTGGGCAGTAATTTATCGGTGAATTCCCTCACTCTACAACTCACACCCTGACCAGGGATCTCCTGCCTCTAAGGTAGAAAATATAGAGTATTTTCGTTTAAATATATTTCCACTTCCTAGCAGAAATCTTTATTTATCTAGTAACCACACCTTGAAATGAAGGTGTTAGGGGATGCTTGATTTAACTCTTGCGAGTTTGAGGGAGTGTGCTTTGGGTTTCTGTAACTCATGGCCATACAGCTGCTTATTCTTTCACTAGTGTTCTATAAAAATTGAAGCTCACAGAATTATTATTTTTACTCTACAAAAAAAACCCTGAAAGTCTAGAGAAAAATGATGTAAATGGCAGTGTGATGTCCCTGGGCTTGTGCCTTCAATGCGTCTAAGCCAGAGGTTTCTGAAGTCAAAGCGTGGAACCTTTAAACTAGAGATGTTCTAAACATCTGTGCAGGAAAAAAAACAGGCCAAGGGACCTGACAGTCCAGCGCCAGCGTTTTGCGCTGTTTGCTCCAAAATCTCTTAATTTTAATATGGTTTAGAATGTTCAGCATTCCAGAGTTCTGCAAAACAAATAACAATTTAAATCATATAAAGAGAGACTAGAGAGTAACAAGTGAATTCCTTTTGAAATGTATTTTGTTTTGAGCAGATGATCCTGAGATAGATGCTGAGCGGCTCAGATTCTCTGGATCTTTGAAAGTATTTGTAAAGCACAGTATGCAAAATGTCATCTGAATGACACCCCACGAAAATCCCCCCACCTTTGTGCTACAGAGTAGCGTGTTGGTGGTTAAACTGGCAGGGTATGTGTTTGGAGAAGGTTCACTGTCAGAGAAACATTGTCACACTTGCAGAGTATGTGTTTTAGGGGTAAATGGTAGAGTATGTGTTTTAGGGTTTCACAGGCTGGGTAATTGTTTAGTGGTATCACATTGGCAGAGTATATGTTCTGGGCGTTCGGGTTCACTGGCCGGGCAATTGTTTAGTGGTATCACACTGGCAGTGTATGTGTTTTTGGGGGTTACAATGGCAGAGGTTAGGGGTTCACAGGCTGGGCAATTGTTTAGTGGTATCATATTGGCAGAGTATGTGTTCTGGGGATTCACTGGCATCACATTGGCAGGGTATGTGTTTTCAGGGGGTTACAATGGCAGAGTATGTGTTTTGTGGGTTACACGGGCTGGGTTTGTGCTTGGATGGCATTTTAAGCTTTAGATGTGAGATCTGATAAATTACTCTGTACATTAAATTATTTACTCGCTTTATTACAGGAAGCTTTGTCGGTGGTGAGTGACGACCAATCACTGTTTGATTCAACGTATGGAGCATCATCCCACCTTCCGAAGGTGGACATGACTGCCTCTGGGAATCCGGATTATGGACAACCACACAAAATAAACCCTTTGCCCCCTCAGCAGGAGTGGATTAACCAGCCCATACGAGTCAACATCAAAAGGGAATATGAGCACATGAATGGCTCCAGGTGAGGTGAACACAGGAGCTATCCTTTCTGCGGTCATATAATGTAGATAGAATGTGCAACTGGTGGTGCCCATGGCTGTGCCTACAATGTGCGGACAGTGAATATAGAGCCTAGTCAGCATTTCTTTATTACTCCTGCTAGGCCACCTGTCTGTACGTAAATCCTGAGCAAGGTATATGTAAATGTGTAATGTGAATGTGAATATGCCTTTAGATTAATTACTGTCCCACATGCAGTATTCTGTAATAATGAAACACAAGATAAAAGCAACTGTATGGTTCTAAGAAATGCTTGTTTTCTTCTAAATGTGACTCCTGTCAGAGGGCTGAGAGTTCTAAATCAGGGCCTGGTACCTCAGTACCTAGCTAGCCGTGTGTTCCTCTAAGTAAGGAAAACGAGGCATCATGCAAACTGGGAGGCATAGGAGATAGAGGACATTGTTGAAAATCAGAAACAGGCAGAGTGTGTGTTTTTGGGGATAAATGGCAGAGTATGTCTTCTGTGGGTTCACTGGCTGGGTAATTGTTTAGTGTTATTACACTGGCACAGTGTGTGTTTTGAGAGATAAATTGCAGAGTATGTCTTTTGGGGGTTACACAGGCTACCATTTTCAAAACTCCAAAGATCGCAGTTTAGTGAACTAACCCTTGAGCACAGGAGAAACGATAATGGTTTGAACTGTTAGGTCCACTTTGAAAATATGAAATGTATTTCCACTCTGGAAGCCTTTTTGTGTGCCGGTTCTATTTTTTAAGATTGAAGTGTGAATGTTGCTGTATTCTGTGCATGTTATTTATATGCAGCTGTTTGTAATATTGTATTTGTGCATATGTGGACTGTTATATATGTTCATGAGTAGCTTGTGGAGTTGTGTGTGATACCTATGAATGTGGACTGTGTATCGGCTGCTTGTAGAATTGTATTTGTGGATGATACAGTTGTGCTCAAAAGTTTACATACCCTTGGGGAATTGGTAATATATGTACCATTTTTAAATAAAACATGAGTGAGCAGGCAAAACACATTTTTTTTATTTTCTATGGGATTCATATTCAACTGTACGTTATAACAGAATGGCACAATCATGAAACAAAACATGCCAACAAAGAAAAAAAATGAAATGACCCCTGTCCAAAAATCTGCATACCCTTAGTTCTTAATACTGTGTATTTCCCCCTTTAGCAACAATAACAGCGTGCAGTCTTTTGTAATAGTTGTCTATGAGGCCCCTAATTCTTGCAGGTGGTATAGCTGCCCATTCGTCTTGGCAAAATGCCTCCAGGTCATGCAAAGTCTTTGGTCGTCTTGCATGAACCGCACGTTTGAGATCACCTCAGAGTGGCTTCATGATATTAAGGTCAGGAGACTATGATGGCCACTTCAGAACCTTCACTTTATTCTGCTGTAACCACTGGAGGGTCCACTTGGCCTTCTGCTTAGGGTCATTGACATGCTGGAAAGTCTAAGAGCGTCCCATGTGCAGCCTTCGTTCAGAAGAATGCAAATTGTCTGCCAGTATTATCTGATAACAACTGCATTCATCTTGCCATCAATTTTTACAATATTCCCCATGCCTATAGAGCTCACACCTCCCTTAAAACATCAGTGAGTCACCACCATGTTTTACATTGGGGATGGTATTCTTCTCACTACAGGCCTTGGTGACCCCTCTCCAAACATAGCGCATATGGTTGTGACCATAAAGCTCTATTTTGGTCTCATCACTCCAAATTACAGTGTGCCACAAGCTGTGAGGTGTCAAGGTGTTTTCAGGCATATTGTAACCAGGCTTTTTTGTGTCATTGGCGCAGTAAAGGCCTTTTTTCTGGAAGCTTGACCATGCAGAAAAATTTGTTCAAGTATCGCTGTATTGTACTCCTTGAAACAACCACAATGTATTTTTCCAGAGCAGCCTGTATTTATGCTGAGTTTACCTGTGGGTTTTTCTTTGTATCCTGAACAATTCTTCTGACAGTTGTGGCTGAAATCTTTCTTGGTCTACCTGACCTTGGCTTGGTATCAAGAGATTCACGAATTTTCCACTTCTTAATAAATGATCGAACAGTATTAACTGGCTTTTCCAAGGCTTTTGATATCTTGTTATATCCATTTCCATCTTTATAAAGTTCCATTACCTTGTTACACAGGTCTTTTGACAGTTCTTTTCTGCTCCTCATGGCTCAGTATCTAGCCTGCTCAGTGCATCCACATGAGAGCTAACAAACTCACTGACTATTTATACACAGACACTAATTGCAATTTAAAAAGCTACAGGTATGGGAAATTAACGTTTAACTACCATTTTAACCTGTGTGTGTCACCTTGTGTGTCTGTAACAAGGCCAAACATTCAAGGGTATATAAACTTTTGATCAGGGCCATTTGGGTGTTTTCTGATATCATTATGATTTAACAACTATGTGGTAATAAATGGCTTCATATGATTACTATCTTTCAATAAAATCTGTCATATTTTCTAAATCAATGCCACAATTTCTGCCAGGGTATGCAAACTTGAGCATAACTATATGTCACATTGCGTGTTTAGTGGTGTGTGGGGCTGCTTGGAGTATTGCTTGCGAGATGCTGCTTGTTGTGTACGTGGATTGTCAGTGTTTTGTGTTTGTGGGGACTGTGTGTGTGTTTTGTGTATGAGCTGTTTATATTATATGTATGAAGGGGAAGCTTATCCTGCAGCCCTGTGTATATCTAGCAATATGGTTGGATTCCCTGGGGTCCAGTGGGTACCGGCTGGCCAGGTACAGGTCAAGGGCAGGAGCTGCAATAACAGCGTCAGGCAGGGCCAGACCGGGAAAGAAATCCTGCCCGGGCATTTTTGAGTCACAGTGGCCCACTGATAAGGGGGGTGTTTTATCATCACCATTGACATGCACGCCCCCTCTCAGCATTTTGGTACTATGCTCTTGAAGGGTGCAGTGTGTGTGTGAGGCATGCAATGTGTGTATGTATGTGTGTGTGTGTGTGAGGAGTGCAGTGTGTGTGAGGGGTGCACTGAGTGTGAAGGCTGCAGTGTGTGGGAGGGGTGCAGTGTGTATGTGGGTGTGTCTGTGTGAAGAGTGCAGTGTGTGTGTGTAGAGTGTGCAGTGTGTGAGGAGCTCAGTGTGTGAAGGCTGCAGTGTGTTTGTGTGTGAGAGGGGAGCAGTGTGTATAAAAGGTGCAATGTGTGTATGAAAGGTGCAGTGTGTATGTTTGTGTGTCTGTGTGAAGGGTGCAGTGTGTGAGTCCAGTGTGTGAGGAGTTCAGTGTGTGAAGGGTGTAGTTAGTGTGTGTGTGTTTGGTGTGCAGTGGGGGGAAGAGGAGTGCAGTGTGTGTGAGGGGTGTAGTGTGTGAGGGGTGCAGTGTGTGTGAAGGCTGCAGTGTGTGTGTGAGGGGTGCAGTGCATGTGTGAAAGGTGCAGTGTGTATATGTTTCTGTGTTAAGAGTGCAGTTTGTGTGTGTGTGTGTGTGTGTGTGTGTGAAGGGTGCAGTCTGTGAAGGGTGTAGTTAGTGTGTGGGTTTGGTGTGCAGTGGGGTGGAGGAGTGCAGTTTGTGTGTGTGTGTGTGTGTGTGTGTGTGAGGGGTGCAGTGTGAGGCAGTGTGTGAGAGGTGCATGTGTGTGTGTGAGGGGTGCAGTGTGTATGAAAAGTGCTGTGTGTATGAAGGGTGCAGTGTGAGTGTATGAAAGATGCAGTGTGTATGAAGGGTTCAGTGTATATGAGAGGTGTAGTGTGCATGAAAGGTGTAGTGTGTATGAAGGGTGCAGTGTGTATGAAGGGTGCTGTGTGTATGTGTGTGTCTGTGTAAAGGGTGCAGTGTGTCAGGAGTGAAGGGTGTAGTTAGTGCGTGTGTGTTTGGTGTGCAGTGGGGGGGAAATGAAATGAATACATAAATATGTTTTTTTTTTTTTTTTTAAATCTACACTTTATATCCCCCCGCCCTTCTTACCTTTGGCTGGGAGGGGGGACATATTTGTAGTATAGGTGAATCCCTGGTGGTCATAGTGGAGGTGAATCCCTGGTGGTCGTAGTAGTGAGTTCACAGTCGCGAGATTTGAGCGTTGTCACTGTTGCCACAGCCGGCGGCCGGATATCAGTGCCTGTGGGCCGGTGATGGAGCTCTTTGATTTAATCAGCATCTTGATATGCCACACCTGTGAGGTGGATGGATTATCTCGGCAAAGGAGAACTGCTCACTAGCACAGATTTAGACAGATTTGTGAACAATATTTGAGAGAAATAGGCCTTTTGTGTACATAGAAAAAGTCTTAGATTTTTGAGTTCAGCTTATGAAAAATGGGGGGGAAAAACAAAAGTGTTGCATTTATAATTTTATCCAGTGATATCAACTTTCAAACTATTGCACAGTGTGCAGTGTCAGGCACACGAGTGAGAAATTGAATGATTCACTATACCAGAGAATCATGGGAAAAGTAATCTAATTTGCATGAAATGCCTTGTCTGTGTCATGAGGAAACCCTTGTGATAGTAAAGTTATATTATTTACAATTCAGCGCCATATAATATCAGCAATACCTACTTTTCTGTGTTCAATAAAAAAAAATATCCCAAATGTGACAGATCTCAAATTTTACTGCTGATTTCTGTTTCTATATTTGTATCTAAACGGTAATTAGGGGGGGCGACCCAGAAATTATTAGAGAAATGTAGAAATTTTACTTGTTACAAAGGTTGACTCTTATACTTGAACAACATGGCATTCTCTTGCAGTCTTGTGGGATGAGAATTAAACCTCTGGTTTGCTGCCTAGAAAAACAGTAGCCAAAAACAAAGACTTAAATTCAAACATATGTTAGTCAACATCTTCTGTCTATTGTGCGGCCTCGGCAGTCTAACAGAGACATTCGGAAAACATTATGGATGAACTATTAACCCCTGTGAGAGATCAGAAACACATTATATAGGAAACCCCTCTCTCTCTACAGAACAGCTCAGTCTGCGTCCGAGAGAAGGAAAATTCTTGCTATCGGAGATTATCTGAGCGCGATGTGAAACATATTGACCCTGCAGAGCTCTGAATCTCGCTGTCTGTGTCTGAACAGACTGTAGCATGCGCTGAATTCGGGATACTCAAAAAATAATATAATTATTATTATTATTATTATTTTATTATTTATATAGCGCCAGCAAATTCTGTAGCGTATAATAATTACTGAATGGTTACTAGTCATTTTTTTTTAAAACTATTTAAGAGTTTTAGATAAAATTTAGAAATGCAGCAATCAGTAGCCAAAGGTTGAAGGGATTGTATATAGCATTTACATTTGATTATTAAACGCTTGTGCTACGCTGTATTGAAGTTTAATCTGTTAATCTATGTTAGCTATGTTAGAGTGTGGAGCAGTGCTGTGTTTGTGCTACGCTGTATTAATATGTTAATCTGTGCTATGTTAGCTATGTTACAGTGTGGAGCAGTGCTGTATTTGTGCTACAATGTATTAATCTGTTAATCTGTGCTATGTTAGCTATGTTAGAGTGTGGAGCAATGCTGTGTTTATTAAAGTTTAATCTGTTAATCTGTGCTATGTTAGCTATGTTAGAGTGTGGAGCAGTGCTGTGTTTATTAAAATTTAATCTGTTAATCTGTGCTATGTTAGCTATGTTAGAGTGTGGAGCAGTGCTGTGTTTATTAAAGTTTAATCTGTTAATCTGTGCTATGTTAGTTATGTTAGAGTGTGGAGCAGTGCTGTGTTTATTAAAGTTTAATCTGTTAATCGGTGCTATGTTAGCTATGTTAGAGTGTGGAGCAGTGCTGTGTTTATTAAAGTTTAATCTGTTAATCTGTGCTATGTTAGCTATGTTAGAGTGTGGAGCAGTGCTGTGTTTATTAAAGTTTAATCTGTTAATCTGTGCTATGTTAGCTATGTTAGAGTGTGGAGCAGTGCTGTATTTATTAAAGTTTAATCTGTTAATCTGTGCTATGTTAGCTATGTTAGAGTGTGGAGCAGTGCTGTGTTTATTAAAGTTTAATCTGTTAATCTGTGCTATGTTAGCTATGTTAGAGTGTGGAGCAGTGCTGTGTTTATTAAAGTTTAATCTGTTAATCTGTGCTATGTTAGCTATGTTAGAGTGTGGAGCAGTGCTGTGTTTGTGCTATGCTGTATTAATCTGTTAATCTGTGCTATGTTAGCTATGTTAGAGTGTGGAGCAATGCTGTGTTTATTAAAGTTTAATTTGTTAATCTGTGCTATGTTAGCTATGTTAGAGTGTGGAGCAGTGCTGTGTTTATTAAAATTTAATCTGTTAATCTGTGCTATGTTAGCTATGTTAGAGTGTGGAGCAGTGCTGTATTTATTAAAGTTTAATCTGTTAATCTGTGCTATGTTAGCTATGTTAGAGTGTGGAGCAGTGCTGTGTTTATTAAAGTTTAATCTGTTAATCTGTGCTATGTTAGAGTGTGGAGCAGTGCTGTGTTTATTAAAGTTTAATCTGTTAATCTGTGCTGTGTTAGCTATGTTAGAGTGTGGAGCAGTGCTGTATTTATTAAAGTTTAATCTGTTAATCTGTGCTATGTTAGCTATGTTAGAGTGTGGAGCAGTGCTGTGTTTATTAAAGTTTAATCTGTTAATCTGTGCTATGTTAGCTATGTTAGAGTGTGGAGCAGTGCTGTGTTTGTTAAAGTTTAATCTGTTAATCTGTGCTGTGTTAGCTATGTTAGAGTGTGGAGCAATGCTGTGTTTATTAAAGTTTAATTTGTTAATCTGTGCTATGTTAGCTATGTTAGAGTGTGGAGCAGTGCTGTGTTTATTAAAGTTTAATCTGTTAATCTGTGCTATGTTAGCTATGTTAGAGTGTGGAGCAGTGCTGTGTGTTTATTAAAGTTTAATCTGTTAATCTGTGCTATGTTAGCTATGTTAGAGTGTGGAGCAGTGCTGTGTTTGTGCTATGCTGTATTAATCTGTTAATCTGTGCTATGTTAGCTATGTTAGAGTGTGGAGCAGTGCTGTGTTTATTAAAGTTTAATCTGTTAATCCGTGCTATGTTAGCTATGTTAGAGTGTGGAGCAGTGCTGTGTTTATTAAAGTTTAATCTGTTAATCTGTGCTATGTTAGCTATGTTAGAGTGTGGAGCAGTGCTGTGTTTGTGCTACGCTGTATTAATCTTTTAATCTGTGCTATGTTAGCTATGTTAGAGTGTGGAGCAGTGCTGTGTTTATTAAAATTTAATCTGTTAATCTGTGCTATGTTAGCTATGTTAGAGTGTGGAGCAGTGCTGTGTTTATTAAAGCTTAATCTGTTAATCTGTGCTATGTTAGCTATGTTAGAGTGTGGAGCAGTGCTGTGTTTATTAAAGTTTAATCTGTTAATCTGTGCTATGTTAGCTATGTTAGAGTGTGGAGCAGTGCTGTGTTTGTGCTACGCTGTATTAATATGTTAATCTGTGCTATGTTAGCTATGTTAGAGTGTGGAGCAGTGCTGTATTTATTAAAGTTTAATCTGTTAATCTGTGCTATGTTAGCTATGTTAGAGTGTGGAGCAGTGCTGTGTTTATTAAAGTTTAATCTGTTAATCTGTGCTATGTTAGCTATGTTAGAGTGTGGAGCAGTGCTGTATTTATTAAAGTTTAATCTGTTAATCTGTGCTGTGTTAGCTATGTTAGAGTGTGGAGCAATGCTGTGTTTATTAAAGTTTAATTTGTTAATCTGTGCTATGTTAGCTATGTTAGAGTGTGGAGCAGTGCTGTGTTTATTAAAGTTTAATCTGTTAATCTGTGCTATGTTAGCTATGTTAGAGTGTGGAGCAGTGCTGTATTTATTAAAGTTTAATCTGTTAATCTGTGCTGTGTTAGCTATGTTAGAGTGTGGAGCAGTGCTGTGTTTATTAAAGTTTAATCTGTTAATCTGTGCTATGTTAGCTATGTTAGAGTGTGGAGCAGTGCTGTGCTTATTAAAAGTTTAATCTGTATTAATCGGTGCTGGGCGTTAGCTATGTTAGAGTGTGGAGCAGTGCTGTATTTATTAAAGTTTAATCTGTTAATCTGTGCTAAGTGTTAGCTGCGTTAGAGTGTGGAGCAGTGCCGTGTTTATTAAAGTTTAATCTGTTAATCTGTGCTATGTTAGCTATGTGCTAGAGTGTGGGAGCAGTGCTGTGTTTGTGCGGCGCGCTGTATTAATCTTCGTTAATCTGTGCTATGTTGGGGCTATGTTAGAGTGTGGAGCGTGCTGGCGTTTATTAAAGTGCTTAATCTGTTAATCTGTGCGTTAGCGTGTTAGGAGTGTGGAGCAGTGCTGTGTTTATTAAAAATTTAATTCGTTAATCTGTGCTGCGTTAGCTATGTTAGAGTGTGGAGCAGTGCTGTATTTATTAAAGTTTAATCTGTTAATCTGTGCTATGTTAGCTATGTTAGAGTGTGGAGCAGTGCTGTGTTTATTAAAGTTTAATCTGTTAATCTGTGCTATGTTAGCTATGTTAGAGTGTGGAGCAGTGCTGTGTTTATTAAAGTTTAATCTGTTAATCGGTGCTATGTTAGCTATGTTAGAGTGTGGAGCAGTGCTGTGTTTATTAAAGTTTAATCTGTTAATCTGTGCTATGTTAGCTATGTTAGAGTGTGGAGCAGTGCTGTGTTTATTAAAGTTTAATCTGTTAATCTGTGCTATGTTAGCTATGTTAGAGTGTGGAGCAGTGCTGTGTTTATTAAAGTTTAATCTGTTAATCTGTGCTATGTTAGAGTGTGGAGCAGTGCTGTGTTTATTAAAGTTTAATCTGTTAATCTGTGCTGTGTTAGCTATGTTAGAGTGTGGAGCAATGCTGTGTTTATTAAAGTTTAATCTGTTAATCTGTGCTATGTTAGCTATGTTAGAGTGTGGAGCAGTAGATCTGAGCTTTTTAAAGTTGTCTGAATTTTGGGCAGATCTGCTGAATTCCATGTCTCTGAATTGCTATACAGATTTATTATGAAACAGACAAACAGTTTAATTGGATTAGTAATTCAGAGTTCTGCCGGTGGCGCCAAATAAATACATGATTGATAGGAAAATAGATCTAAATTATGATTTTATTTACAGAACAAGGGAAAAGGAGGAGCATCAAAACACAATAACCATATATTATATACTTCATTAATATATAAATATTTGATTATTTTACCCCACCATCCCCCGCACCATTGGTTACTTCTTCTCAATTGATCTGTAAAACAGTTCTGGGTTAGAGTTTGTTGCAGTGCTGGGTTAGAGTTTGTTGCAGTGCTGGGTTAGAGGTTGTTGCAGTGCTGGGTTAGAGTTTGTTACAGTGCTGGGTTAGAGTTTGTTGCAGTGCTGGGTTAGAGTTTGTTGCAGTGCTGGGTTAGAGTTTGTTGCAGTGCTGGGTTAGAGTTTGTTGCAGTGCTGGGTTAGAGTTTGTTGCAGTGCTGGGTTACAGTTTGTTGCAGTGCTGGGTTAGAGTTTGTTGCAGTGCTGGGTTAGAGTTTGTTGCAGTGCTGGGTTACAGTTTGTTGCAGTGCTGGGTTAGAGTTTGTTGCAGTGCTGGGTTACAGTTTGTTGCAGTGCTGGGTTAGAGTTTGTTGCAGTGCTGGGTTACAGTTTGTTGCAGTGCTGGGTTAGAGTTTGTTGCAGTGCTGGGTTAGAGTTTGTTGCAGTGCTGGGTTACAGTTTGTTGCAGTGCTGGGTTAGAGTTTGTTGCAGTGCTGGGTTACAGTTTGTTGCAGTGCTGGGTTAGAGTTTGTTGCAGTGCTGGGTTAGAGTTTGTTGCAGTGCTGGGTTAGAGTTTGTTGCAGTGCTGGGTTACAGTTTGTTGCAGTGCTGGGTTACAGTTTGTTGCAGTGCTGGGTTAGAGTTTGTTACAGTGCTGGGTTAGAGTTTGTTGCAGTGCTGGGTTAGAGTTTGTTACAGTGCTGGGTTAGAGTTTGTTGCAGTGCTGGGTTAGAGTTTGTTGCAGTGCTGGGTTAGAGTTTGTTGCAGAGCTGGGTTAGAGTTTGTTGCAGTGCTGGGTTACAGTTTGTTGCAGTGCTGGGTTAGAGTTTGTTGCAGTGCTGGGTTAGAGTTTGTTGCAGTGCTGGGTTACAGTTTGTTGCAGTGCTGGGTTAGAGTTTGTTGCAGTGCTGGGTTAGAGTTTGTTGCAGTGCTGGGTTAGAGTGTTTTTCAGCGCTATGTTAGACTGTGTCACAGTAGTGTGTTAGAGTGCTGAGCAGTGCTATATTTCAGGGCTTTGCAGTGATGTGTTAGAGTGTTTTCCAGTGCTATGTTATAGTATTTTGCTATGTTGGAGTGTTCTGCTATGTTTTTTCCAGTGCTATGTTTTACAGTTGTGTGTTAGAGTGCTGAGCTGTGTTATATTTCAGGGTTTTGCAGTGCTATGTTTAAGTGTTTTCCAGTGCTATGTTCCAGTGTTTTGCAGTGGTGTGTAAGAGTGCTGAGTAGTGCTGTATTTCAGGGTTTGGCAGTGCTGTGTTATAGTGTTTCCAGTGCTTTGTTAGAGTGTTTTGCTATGCAGTGTTAAAAAAGTTCATATATTTCTAGAATTTGTGCTGATTTTTTATTACTTTTATTTGCAAACACAAGCATAACCCATTGCAATATATCACAAAACCAAAATAAAAAAATATAATTGTGGTAAAAAAACCAAATAGAAAATGCAGGAACAGAAGGTGACAAGGCTTGTGCTCTGTGTTGTATTATAGCAATGTGTTACCCTGTATTAGAGTGTTGTATAGTAATAAGGCAATATGTTGCACTATATTAGAGTGTTGTATAGTAGTAATGCAATGTGCTGCACTGTATTAGAGTGCTGTATAGCAATAAAGCAATGTGTCGCACTATATTAGAGTGTTGTATAGTAATAAGGCAATATGTTGCACTATATTAGAGTGTTGTATAGTAATAAAGCAATGTGCTGCACTGTATTAGAGTGCTGTATAGCAATAAAGCAATGTGTTGCACTATATTAGAGTGTTGTATAGTAATAAAGCAATGTGTTGCACTGTATTAGAGTGTTGTATAGTAATATAGCAATATGTTGCACTGTATTAGAGTGTTGTATAGTAATAAAGCAATGTGCTGCACTGTATTAGAGTGTTGTATAGTAATAAGGCAATATGTTGCACTATATTAGAGTGTTGTATAGTAATAAAGCAATGTGCTGTACTGTATTAGAGTGTTGTATAGTAATAAAGCAATGTGCTGCACTGTATTAGAGTGCTGTATAGTAATATAGGTATAGCAATGTTCTGCACTGTATTAGAGTGGTGTATAGTAATAAAGAAATGTGTTGCACTGTATTAGAGTGTGGTATAGTAATAAAGCAATGTGTTGCACTGTATTAGAGTGTTGTATAGCAATAAAACAATGTGTTACACTGTATCAGAGTGTTGTATAGCAATAAAGCAATGTGTTGCACTGTATTCGAGTGTTGTATAGTAATAGAGCAATGTGTTGCACTGTATTAGAGTGTCGTATAGTAATATAGCAATGTGTTACACTGTATTAGAGTGTTGTATAGTAATAGAGCAATGTGTTGCACTGTATTAGAGTGTCGTATAGTAATATAGCAATGTGTTACACTGTATTAGAGTGCTGTATAGTAATAAAGCAATATGTTGCACTGTATTATAGTGTTGTATAGCAATAAAGCAATGTGTTGCACTGTATTCGAGTGTTGTATAGTAATAGAGCAATATGTTGCACTGTATTAGAGTGTTGTATAGTAATAAAGCAATGTGTTACACTGTATTAGAGTGTTGTATAGTAATATAGCAATGTGTTGCACTGTATTAGAGTGTTGTATAGTAATAAAGCAATGTGTTGCACTGTATTAGAGTGTTGTATAGTAATATAGCAATGTGTTGCACTGTATTAGAGTGTTGTATAGTAATAAAGCAATGTGTTGCACTGTATTAACACAGTAAAGGAGGAGACTATACTAACAACCACAGCAAGAGGACATAGTCTTAAATTAGAAGGGGAAAGGTTTAAAAAATAACATTCGGAAGTATTACTTTACTGAGATTTTAGTGGATACATGGAATAAGAAAACAAAAAATAAAGTGTTCTGTGCCTTTAAGACCGAAAGCAATTAATGAATAAAAGTGGATAATATTCACATAAATGACAAAAATAAAGTGCACTGTGCATTTAAAACTATAAATCAATTGCTGAATAATATGAATACCACATATATGTGTAGTAGCATAAGTGAATTGTGCTAATACAAAAAAACAAAAGTGTTACAGTGCACTAGTGATAAAACCCCACTGATATGTGCAAAGTAGGGACAAAAATGTTAATACCTCACTTTTGAGAAATTCTTGAAATTGCTTCTGCCAGAACTTCAATGCAATTCTCAAAATAAAAAACAAAAACAAAGCTCATAGGGCAATATGCATAAACAATAGATATTGTGAATATAGATCATAAACACTCACAAGGGTAGAAAGTGGGCATCCTGAGGTTTAGTGTGGATTGGGCAGTGTTGCACGTGGTTGGTAGGTTCGAGCCCGTTGGTGGGTATGGTGGTGTCTTGGTACACCCTACACTGGAACTGGAGGGTAGCGGTTTCTTGGTACACCCCTACAATGGATATGGTGGGTAGCGGAGCTCTTGGTACACCCCTACAATGGATATGGTGGGTAGCGGTGTCTTGGTACACCCTACAATGTATATGGTGGGTATCGGTGTCTTGGTACACCCTACACTGGAACTGGTGGGTAGCGGTGTCTTGGTACACCCCTACAATGGATATGGTAGGTAGCGGTTTCTTGGTACACCCCTACAATGGATATGGTGGGTAGCGGTGTCTCGGTACACCCCTACAATTTAACCTGGTGGAAATGTGGTCATATTGGGCGGCCAGTTTCTGTATTAACATGTTATTTAGATTGTTATCTATAGTTATTATTGTGGGGTCATTGCTAGGGGTATGTTATGTATATGGGGGATGTTAACTTTAATAAGATTTGTTGGCAATGACCCCATTTGTTATTCCTTAATTATTTTATTAATAATTTAATAAAGCTGTGGACTAATTATTTCCAACAGTATAACCTGTGTCCGTGTTTTAATGGGGGTTTGGGTAAGGTTAGCACATATGCCGGCAAAAATGACCTACCAAGCACGCAATAAACCCTTCTGTAACAAACGATTTAATTCCCCTACTTTAACCCTTTGTGTCACAATACCCCACTCTCTCTAGCATGTAAGCTCATCGAGCAGGGCCCTCAACCCCCTGACGTTAGAGTGTGATGACGCGTTTCGCCGACATGCTCGGCTTCATCAGATCCGCCCACTTGTCCATCACAGTCTCAATATAAGGCATAAAAAAGGGGCGTGGCTGCCCAAAAGGTCTGAGAATTCTGCCTTGTGATTGGTTATCTTAACCAGGCATATTACCATACATAATAGATGTCATTTCCTACTTGAATCGAACTAAAAGGGGACTATTCACTAAAATGTTTACAAATGCTCAGGAAATACTGCAATCACATGCAATTAAATAAATAAATTTAAAAAACTGCACTTACACAGTAAGCTTAAAAGCTTATCTCTCACTAGGAACAATTGTATATTTGTACAATGTACTAACTGAAAATATATTCAAATATAAATCACTTATAATAGTACCTACTTTAGTAGAAGGAAGAAAGGAATAAATTGGACAAATTACATGAAATATATCTTATAACCACATCTGCAATGCTCGTTTACATGGTATAGACTAGAATAAGAAGTATAGGGGAAATTATTTAAAATAATTAAAATAATTCTAAAATAGGAAGAGATAAAAAAAGAGAAAAAGGGGAAGGTGCAACAGATTATCCACCAACCTATAAGAAACTATCGGATTATTTTATAAAATTATAAAACTGTGTAACACATTTTATAAAAAAATTGTTTAAAAAAATGTTTTTCTATAAAAAATATATAATATTTACTAAAAAATTAAAAAGGTCAAATTCTATGTTAAGACCTTGTGGTTCTAAGGTTTTCAATCTATGAACCCACATCATTTCTTCTCTTCCTATTTTAGAAATATGATCTCCATCCCTATATGATTTTTTCACTACCTGAATTCCTAAAAAAAATTAAGCCCTTCGGATCCATATTATGCTTTGCTTTAAAATGGGCGAGACACTATGATGAGTGACTTCCCTTAAAATATTATTTATATGCTCTCATATTCTTTTGTGGAGTGGCCATATAGTACAGCCCACATATTGTTGTCCACATGGGCAAATTAACAAATATATTACATTCCTCGTAAAACAGGTAATAAAATCTTTAATATCAAATTCATTATCACTATACATACTTTATTTATTTATACCTTTTAGGGTCCTATTTTTACTATACTTACATCCTGTAGACTGACCACAGGAGTAAAAGCCTTTTCTATCATTCATAAAATGTTTTTGTACTTTCCTCTCCAGATGTTTATGTGTTAAAATTAAATTAAAATTAGGAGCATCCCTAAAAGTTATAAAAGGTTTAGGTGGTAAAATTTTAGCCAATTCTGTATCTTCCTTTAATAAATACCAATGCTTATTAATTATCTTTTTTATATCTTTATGTGCAATATTAAAATCAAATACTAATGGTACATTATTAAGATTTTTATTGTCAACATCCAAAAATTATTTTCTTTCTATAAGTTCGTCTTGTGTAAGTTTAACCGTATCTTCATATGCGTCAGAAACGAAATATTCAGGATATTTTTTTATCTAAAAACCGACCTTTTAAAAGTTGCGCCTGTTGCTTAAAAACCTCCGTGTCAGTGCAATTTCTTCTTATACGTCTGAGTTGACCCTTGGGGATATTATTAAACCATGGGGTATAATGTCCACTATTGTATAAATGGAATAGCCTTCCAGATGAAGTGGTAGAGGTTAACACAGTAAAGGAGTTTAAGCATGCGTGGGATAGGCATAAGGCTATCCTTACTATAAGATAAGGCCAGGGACTAATGAAAGTATTTAGAAAATTGGGCAGACTGGATGGGCCGAATGGTTCTTATCTGCCGTCATTCTATGTTTCTATGGCTATACTGTATATCGGAGAATCCCTGTATCAGAATCTCAATATATCAGAGTATATACATATGTATGTTTTCGGAATATTCCTATTTCAATAGTTTGTCTTCTCTAACAAATCTCTGCTCTCTGTGTCTCAGGGAATCCCCGGTGGATTGCAGTATTAACAAGTGCAGCAAATTAATTGGTGGCTCAGAGAACAATGCAATGACGTACAACAGCTACATGGACGAAAAAAATACCCCTCCTCCAAACATGACCACAAACGAGAGGAGAGTTATCGTGCCAGCAGGTAAACTGAGACATGTCCTCTTTACCAGCTTCAATTTACCACATTGCAGTTAACGAAGATCTATAAAAACATTTCTAATGGTCGACATTCAATAACTCCTGGATCTTTAGGAATTCATCAAAAATAGTTTTGCTGTAAACATATTTTTTCTCTATTCTGTTATTTTGGCATAGAATTTGCAACTCTTTTGGTGAATTCCAGGCAAATTCCAATTTATGGATTAATCATTGAGTCCATTCATTAAATTGACAGTTGTTAGAAATTGACAAAGAAATTACAAACGTTATGTTGAAATTACCAAACTGGCAAAATATCTGAGTATTTTTCCAATTCCACTATCTTAGCCTAAAATGTACATGTCATGCAGGGACATCAAGGCATAGCCTGGCATGCAATGTAAATTTCCTGGTATTCCCAGGTGTTCACATCAGAACACTCAGGCATTTTATACTAAGGTCCAGAGCTTACTTCACCCTCAAAAACACTTCAGTAAAATTAATTGCTTGAGAGAAAATAGAACCTGCCCTATCTGTCCCCAAGGTGACGATTCCCACCTCATGTTTAGTAACTATTTTTTTTTTTCCATATATTTGATAAGCATTTGGCTAAATAAATGTATAGGTTACAAGGCCACCCATGTTCTCACATGTAGAGTGTTTTGTTTTTTTAGAAAATTATTGGAATTGAAGGGTTTAATAACAAATATCAATTTCTTGTTATTTTTAACAATTTTCCAAGTGCATCTTTCTGTTTGGCTGCTTATTATATAATTTGTTTTTAATATTTGCAACTTGTTTTTAAATGTTCCACTAAAACCCACCTTTTGAAGTAGCAACCCAATCAATGCCTTTCAAAGTAAGGTGGATTTAAATCAATTAAATACATTTTTAAAAGTTCACTCTAAGCAGATATCAATTAGAACCTGCTGTTGTGGTTATGGTGTCAGCATGCACCTGACAGTCTTCAAGCAGTTTGACACAAACAAAGGTTCCCCCAGGCGTCTGTGGCCGGCTGCTTGCTTGGGATATTGCCAGTCCATAAGTTACAATTATACATTATCGATATCCAGTGCATCAGTCAGACTGCAGTTGAGAGCACCAGCTGATGGACACACTTGTTTTTTGATGATCAGCCTAGATTTTCTAATGATTTTCGGAACAAATTTAGCAATATGATCTTATCGCTGATGTGGCTACAGCTAAATCCAGAACGCAACCAAATGTTTTCACTAATGGGGTTTATCCACAATAATAAGCAGTTTTTTTTGTTTTTTTTTGTTTTTTGTGGCTAGATCCTACCTTGTGGACTCAGGACCATGTTCGTCAGTGGCTGGAATGGGCTATCAAGGAATATGGACTTATGGACATTGATTGTAATCTCTTTCACAACACCGATGGCAAAGAATTGTGTAAAATGGGCAAAGACGATTTTCTTCGGAGCACGTCCCTATATAACACAGAAGTTCTCCTGTCTCATCTCAGCTACCTCAGGGAAAGTAAGTGTCCTATTAATGAGTCATGCTAGAACTTGCCCCAAGTGGAGTCCTAGCCTAAACTCTACAACTTGCCCAACTCTCCCAGATCCAACACAATAAACTGGTAATGCAACAGAAAGTAAATTCTTAATGGTTATTAGACTTGTGCATTCATTTAAGGCCGAATTGCAATTCTACTGAATTTAGGTAGACAAATTCAGGTCGTCTGAATTCTATAACTGAATAAATATGGACATATAGCTTTCGTCCATAAAAAAAAGTGATTATTCATGAAAAAAATAATAATTGGTGGCTGTGGACAGTCACTAAATGTTTATTCTATACACAGATCAAGTGAGAAGTGAGCAATACAGGGGAAACGGGGGAGGAGTAAAAAAATATATATTCATATGTTATATAGTTAATAAACATATTATATATAAATATATATTTTACTCTTCCTCCTCTACTTGACTACATTGGTTACCTCTTTTCACTTTATGTGTCAACCATACGTCAGGAATATTCATCTATAAGTGCATTGACTCATTGGTTCATCCAAGTCATTTCCCCTAATATATTGTATGGACCATATTCGGACTAAACAAACCATTAAATCGATTACTTTTGAAATACCCAACTACATTTAATGCATTAATTCTTCCACCATACACAAGTCTAGCAGTTGCATTATAGATGTAATCTCATATACTTATTCAAAGCAAATTCAAAGCAAAATTCAAACTTGAACCTTTAATAACTTTTGGCTATATTCAATTACAATTTGAAGTTTGTGACAATTTGCACGTTAGTGAATAACCATGAAATATAATTTTGCACCATCCTTTATTTAACGTTGTGTAAAGATTAGTAACTATATGCAGATGAGGGGTGTTTAGAAAGGGAGACACTCATACAGAAGGAATTAGAGAGAGTCTGGCCTGTGAGCTTGCAATCCAAAGGTGATGATAGAAGGGGGATACAATGTAAAAGGAAGAATTTGATGTGGATGTTTGAGAATTTAAGTGTGATCATTTATATTCTATTTTAAGGAGTTTCAGAATGGTGCTCCAAGTCAAACCTAAGCTAGGTGAATTACTGGTTAATACAGAAGGAAGTTTGGGTTCAGGGTGCAGCATCATTAGTAAGGATAAAAAGGGAAGGCATCACTCTTCCCAGCGGGTAAAATATCTGTAACTGTGGTAAGAGTAGATGATGGTTATAATGAGCCTGGATATAATGTGTTTTTATTTCTGAACGACCCTTCTATACCATAGAATGTCTGGAATAGGAAGTGTCTATACTAATCAGTACTAGATGTGCCGCTGAGTTTTTACAATTGGTAACATTTTATTTTTGGGTCCCATAATTTTTGAAAGTCACACTAAGCAAATATTTTAATACTATATAAAGTACAACCACTCAAAAAATGGACTGAAGAATTGCCGTGTTTTACAAGACGACGACTCCTTGTACACTGCTGCATAAAATGTCCTGAAATGCTCAGTTCCTGTAATGATCAAAGGGTTCCACTCATTGGGTGCACTGCTTGTGTCAATGTTTTGGGGTTTTCAAATCTTGGTCTATTTTTTATGAAAATATCTCCTTTAGTATCACGTTGTAAAATGCATGAACGCAACAACAACAAAAAAGGACTTTTCCACATCTTCTCCATCAGAGCCCCAACTCAGCGTGAAATAGAAACCCAATCCTTCTAAAGTCTCTGTAATGTCTCCATCAAAAAGCACAGTAGGGGTCAGAGCAAGAAAAATGGGTACAGTTCACTTTTTATCACACCTCCATCACTGGCCACTGGACAGGGAAACAAACTTGCTCTTGTTCTAAATTTACATGGCTTTCTCCAGTTCGTTTCCTTTACCTCGTCGTTCTAGTTACCTGAAGCCAACTTAGCCCCCACAGTTAGTGAATTTGCAGATTTCTGTCCCACACAATGAGAACAGGAAATCACTCTGTCCTTTTCCCTTTACCAAATTTAAAGCAGACATCTGCATGCCATGTGTATAGGCCCAACGAAGCTTACACACTACACTGCCACTAGCAACCTCTGACCTGCATCCCACCGGGTCATCGAGTATCGGGCAACAGAATGCCTCTTGGCATTTATTAGTGAATTAACCCTTTTAGAATAATACTGCATTTGTGAGATCTCTGAGAGTATTTGTGGTGTGTTTCAGTCTGGAATATATTAAGTCACTGATTGACATTTTATTTTTCCAGCTCACAGCTCACAGGGGTTTAACCACATGCATTGGGTTAAGTGGTACTTTGACTAATAGTCCACACTATGAAGTGGTAGGGCCAGGTTGGGTCTCACTTGTATTAACAGGATAGTAATGCATCGTAGTCTTTACAAAAAAATGCACACTTAGAGGATGGAATGTTCTGGGATAGAATGTTCTGTCTTTATTTCATTCCTTCAGATAATAGTCATTTCATGTCAGTCTGGGGGAACCCATCACTTAATTCTCACTTTTACATGTTTCCTGATAGGTAAACACCTGACAGCCAATCAGAATGCAGCTTGGGTTTAATCGCTTCTCTGTTTGTGAGTCTCTGTAAATCTTACGGCAGATTTTCCCTGAAATACACGGATTGTCGGTGAAGTAAAATGCCGTTAGATATAGAGAGACAATTCATATCAAACCAATTATTATAAAGCATTTGGTGAATGAGCTATGCCCTATGCTGCACTAATGAGGATCCTTTTAACATAAATAGCACTGCACAATATGGTGGCACTATAAAAATAATTGGGTATAAACCCTGATGTCTTGTTACCATGTGGTTGTCATACTGTCATTGAACTGTCTCCCAAAGTAGTATAACTTAATGCTCAAACATAATTTACATTCCTTGATACAGGAATAATTGTTTTTAAATTCAAGCAGCATTTGGAAAGTAAAGAAGAGTGGAGAACAAATTTCAGTTACTCAGATTCTGCTTAACTCATGTAGTGAGAGACCTTCATTATCATTAACAAATGAGAGTTTTACCAGTAAAGAGTACAGGAACCCAAGAGAGTGCAAGCTGCAATCAAACTATGTACCTAGCATCAAGAAAATGCATGTACTCAGCACAGAGAGAATATAAACAATGTCCCCAGCTCAGAGTATGCACCCAGCACTGACAGAATGTCCCCAGCTCAGAGTATGTACCCAGCACTGTCAGAATGTCCCCTGCTCAAAGTATGTACCCAGCAGTGACAGAATGTCCCCAGCTCAGAGTATGCACCCAGCACTGACAGAATGTCCCCAGCTCAGAGTATGTACCCAGCACAGACACAATGTCCCCAGCCCCGAGAGTATGTACCCAGCACAGACAGAATGTCCCCAGCTCAGAGTATGTACCCAGCACTGACAGAATGTCCCCAGCCCCGAGAGTATGTACCCAGCACTGACAGAATGTCCCCAGCTCAGAGTATGCACCCAGCACAGACAGAATGTCCCCAGCCCGGAGAGCATGTTCCCAGCACTGACAGAATGTCCCCAGCTCAGAGTATGTACCCAGCACAGACAGAATGTCCCCAGCCCGGAGAGCATGTTCCCAGCACTGACAGAATGTACCCAGCTCAGAGTATGCACCCAGCACTGACAGAATGTCCCCAGCCCTGAGAGTATGTACCCAGCACTGACAGAATGTCCCCAGCTCAGAGTATGTACCCAGCACTGACAGAATGTCCCCAGCCCCGAGAGTATGTACCCAGCACTGACAGAATGTCCCCAGCCCAGAGTATGCACCCAGCACAGACAGAATGTCCCCAGCCCGGAGAGCATGTTCCCAGCACTGACAGAATGTACCCAGCTCAGAGTATGCACCCAGCACTGACAGAATGTCCCCAGCCCCGAGAGTATGTACCCAGCACTGACAGAATGTCCCCAGCTAAGAGTATGTACCCAGCACTGACAGAATGTCCCCAGCTCAGAGTATGTACCCAGCACTGACAGAATGTCCCCAGCTCAGAGTATGTACCCAGCACTGGCAGAATGTCCCCAGCTCAGAGTATGTACCCAGCACAGACAGAATGTCCCCAGCCCCGAGAGTATGTTCCCAGCACTGACAGAATGTACCCAGCTCAGAGTATGTACCCAGCACTGACAGAATGTACCCAGCTCAGAGTATGTACCCAGCACTGACAGAATGTCCCCAGCTAAGTGTATGTACCCAACACTGACAGAATGTCCCCAACTCAGAGTATGTACCCAGCACTGACAGAATGTCCCCAGCCTGAGAATATGTACCCAGCACAGACAGAATGTCCCCAGCTCAGAGTATGTACCCAGCACTGACAGAATGTCCCTAGCTCAAGTATGTACCCAGCACTGACAGAATGTCCCTACCAAAGTATGTACCCAACACTGACAGAATGTCCCCAGCACTGATAATATGTACCCAGCACAGACAGAATGTCCCCAGCTCAGAGTATGTACCCAGCAGTGACAGAATGTCCCTAGCTCAGAGTATGTACCCAGCACTGACAGAATATCCCCAGCTCAGAGTATGTACCCAGCACTGACAGAATATCCCCAGCTCAGAGTATGTACCCAGCACTGGCAGAATGTCCCCAACTCGGTGAGTATGTACCCAGCACAGACAGAATGTCCCCAGCACTGACAGAATGTCCCCAGCTCAGAGTATGTACCCAGCACTGACAGAATGTCCCCAGCTCAGAGTATGTACCCAGCACAGACAGAATGTCCCCAACTCAGTGAGTATGTACCCATCTAAGAGCACATGTACTCAGCTTAGACCAACTGTAACCAAAAGTGAGAACTACATTAATTTGGGTTTAATTTTCCGACAGGCAGCTCGTCATTGAGTTATCCCGCAACGTCACACACAGACCAGACTTCTCGAATACCCACGAAAGAGGGTAAATATGAATTCTCTTTATAATTTGATCTTTTTGAGAAAACCTGATCAAAGATTTGATGTGATTGTTAATAAACTAGCTATTTCTGTGATTAAAATTATGAATAATTGGGTCATGTTTGTTTTTGAGTTCAGATGTGTTTATAGCGAGTTTACAAAAACCACGTCTGCAAAAAAAGACTTTAAAGTCCCATTACGCTAATAACATAACTACACAATTAAACAAAATGTGATTGGAACTCAACAGCAAAATATGATTGGAACTCAACAGCAAAATGGGAGAAGAAAATATTAAAACATCATTATATATTGGGGACAGAGATTCCCTTTAGTGACTTTTTTTAAAACACATTTTTTTTTTAAATCTGCTGTAAAACGCATGTCGTGTAATGTTGTTTGTCTTTTGTTTCTTTGCTGGAACCTCGTAAGCCCAGATAGAAACGTGAATACTTATCTTCTCTCAGCTACATTTTTTAGCTAGATGCTGACTTTGTTACATAATAAATATTTTGGTTACCCTTATCGTTCTCTGATTGGAGGTCCCAGTGATTGTTAGTATTGGATTCCAAGTATTCTTGTTTAATGTGATACAATAAACATGTGCTCCATCTAATGTCCATATCGCACAACTGTGAGATAACACAATGGAGTGGAAATCTGGCCAGGCAACATAGAGATTAGTGCAATTACTCTGCACAGTGTAACTTCTCTTATACATAGTGCTACATTCTAACATCCTACGGTTTGTAAGAATTTGACAAATCTAGAATGTGCGTCTTAAACTGCTCCCTGTCCATTGTATGAGCACTGATTAGTAATCAAAGTGCTGGGAGTGACATATAGCACAAGCCAATATTTCAAACGGACAGAAAGTAGCACTTTTATTTTTGGGGGTGAGGTTGGGAGTGTAACCTGTAATTGATATATGATTAAAAAATGCACAAGAAACTTTGTACCTTCCTTAGAGTGAAACCAATGGTGGGCCGAGATTGTCAGCTGATTCTCTTAGCCTATGAATGGAGCCCAATCTGAGGCTTCCACATGAAGGATAGAGACACAGGGACCTGCAGGATGGGTCCATTTGGGTTAAACCATTTAACATTTCAAGGAACACTATAGCATTAGGAATAAAAAAAACTGTATTTCTACTGCTTTACTGTCCCTATGCCTCTGCCTCCCCCCTCCCCCTTCCAGCCAGGTGTTTAAAGGGTTTAAGACCCTTTTTTCACTTACCTCTTTCCAGCAGCAAGGGACCTCGGCGCTGGATCCATCTCCTCCCCCAGCGACATCACACATTAGACCTTCCCCATAGGAAAGAATTGAATCAGGGCCTTTTTATTGAGATTTTCAATAAGCTAGGGATTCTTGTGTAGAGAAAATATATCTAAAATGTTACTTCAAGGACTGGATTAATATCCAATATAATGACAAACGCTGTGCTAGTGTCAGATATGACACAATATTATGACCTAATTATATCACACTTGTTTACAAACTCCTGGTTTGCCACATATTATTATATTGTTAACCACAACTCCCATAATTCTTGACCATAAATGTTGGTTTTGGTTCATATAGCCTCTGTGGATAAGCAGTAGCCAGAAAGAGACTAGCAGATCATCACAATTCCCTCTTACAGCAGGTTAGCCTAGAGGGCGACTGATTCTTGGCATATTCTCGGCTGATGGGCGCTAGATACACGAAGAATATAATTAATACGTGAATACTTAATTTATAGTTATTTACAGGCTGCGATGGGCACTTACACTATGAAAGGTGTATTATATAAAGCCTTAATGTACAAAGCCCTGAACACTGACTGCCGAGAAACAGATGTTGTAAAAATAAATCACGAATGTAGAAATAACTAATACCATGTTAATACATTATAATACATTAGCAATATTTATTTATTTAGTTGTTATATATTGATGTTATCCAGAGTGTTTTAGATAATGTAGCAATTAATCATAGGCAGGGTTACAGTCATTAGACATACAGGTTCAGAGGCAGGACAAAGCCTTGTCCATGAGTTTTACATCAGTAGCAGCTTTAAAACAAGTGATAGAACGACACCCCGTAAGCTTACAATCTACAGGGGTAATGTGCACCGAAAGGCAGCAGGGAAGATAACTAAGAATGTGCGGGGCATCACGGTGAAGAATCTCAGATTTGAGTAATTGCAGAAAATACAATTTATAAACTGACTTTATAATAATGTGTACAATTGATGAATAATTTCACTGCTAGACGGTGTTTAAATCGTCTAGCAGTGAAACCTATAGCCTCTTTTAAACACTGATAGAATTTGATGTCATCATAATGTAGTCCGAATAGATAGTGTGTAGGCATATCTAATCAAAGGCTATTTAGGGACCAGATAGATCTGACAACAGAAGCTGTCACTGGCTTTAAATTAATGCCAGAATGTTTTTATTATAATAGGGATAGTAGATTTGTAGACACCAGGCTATGGGTTCTTGTAAAGATAATATCTATGTTTGTGGCCATTTGCAATAAACTCCTTAAATAATCGCTAATCTCAGATATAAATGAGGAATTTATTTGCTAAACTGGGAATTATGGACACTAGACGAAAGGGTTGCAGATTCTAGCTGAGCAGAACATAGAGCTGAATTATCAATTTATTCAGTTCAACTGCATTTTACTTAAATTAGTAAATTTACCCATGTCCTTTCTCTACAATTCCCGTATTTATTGAACGAACGCCAGTTATGATCCATAGTGTATGTAACTGGCATAGGAACGGGTTAAATCAGTTCCCTTTTTTTAGGTCAGCTTGGGAGCTATTAAGAGCTGGGGATGTGGCCCTTTATTCGGATATGCTAAATCACACTCTGGCGCTGCAGGTGCGTCCTTTGTTCTACACATAATGGGCTCATGAAGTGCAGTGGATCAGCCTCCCCCTACCTGGGAACGCAGGCTGACACCGCTTGATGCAAGGTGCATTAACAAGATAAAAGCGAATCATTCAGCCCTCTCTATAATGCTTTGATGGCCGGCAACATAAAGGTTCCTTTAAAGCATTCTCATTCAGCGCAAAATGCCCTCTTACATTCACTCAGAGCAGCCGCTACATTGTCCCCCCTATTCTGCAGGGATACTTCTCCTCTCAGACCTGCCATCTTTACATTCTACTCACTAAGCACAGAATTGTAATGAATTGAAATCCAAATTGCAAAATTTGGAGAAAAGAAAAAACTGATTTGGAAAAATTGTCCCAGCTTATGTAATGTCGCACATTAATGTGTGTATTTAATCTAAATGTTACACAATTTTCAGTTCATTAAAATGCAGAGCTTACAAGATAACCTTGAACATGTGAATTAAAGAAACACGCTGAGAACAAATGCACATTTTATTATCGGTTGCTTAGATTCTTGACCCTTTCCCTATGAGATGCATTAGTGGCGTTCGGCGATATCAGCCAGGGATCTTGAAAAAGACGTAGATTTTGAATGAGGAAGTGCCTCTCGAGGCTGTGTGTCTGAGGCGTGTTTATTGCTAAATGTAAACTGTGCACCAAGGTCAGTGCACCAAAACCACTTCATTAAGACATAGTGGATTTGGTGCTTAGAGGGTCCCTGTGTATTTTGGTTCTAGGCTGCCGTTCTGGGAGGGACCAGTCTGATATGCTAGTGGTGTAGATTGATTTAATCAGATGGGAATGTGAATTTAGCTTGGTATGTCCTCCATAGGGTCAGTGACGACTACACCCTTTGTCTTGCTCATATAAACATGTTTATCTATATTATATATTTGCTAACACTATATTGATGATTACGCAATGGATTACTTCATGACAGCTGCTTTGAAAAAAGGGAAGTTACCAAGCGTTTCTTAATATGTAGTAAGTCCTATACAGTATGTATTAACCCCGTCCATCCCAATCCTGTCCAGAAATGCACTAACTTTCATTCATTGTATATATAGTCACACCTACTGCGACTGTGCAATTTTTCCCTCAGTGTCACACTCTGCCTGAAATATTCAGAGATAAGAGGATACTGTAAATAGTTAAACCACTTTATCCCTGACTGATGTCAATTCTTTGCAAAATTTGCGTTTGCCGCCAGCACGCACAGCATGCTAGCACCAGGCAGCCAATAATGTCCTTGTCCTTCTGCCCATCCATCCTGAGCTCCCTCCGCCTCCAGCGAGAGCAAATCGCGTCAGGCAGGGAGGAGCATGCTGCATGGAGGGGGGCAGACCAACCGAGAAAGGCTTACTCTAGCAAAAACCAGTGTTCCTTGGAAACAATGTTTATTTGTTTGGAGTAACCCTTTAATTATTTTGTTTTGTTTTAGGTATATCGGAGCAGCAGTCTGCTCTCTGATAAAATTGTAATATTATTGGACAGAACAGCACTCTGTAAGGACAGGGTTAAAGTCTGGAGGCTCATGCTGCTTAATTTAGTGTCCTCTAGTAAAAATAATAATAGACGGAGAAGCAGCAAACCCTGCACAAAATCATAGTTTTGACACTTAGGTAAAAAGGGAACTTTTCATTTCAAATCTCAAAGGACTAAACATTGATATTTAATCAAATGGGGATTGTCTGATTTGTTTGTTGAATGTAAAGTCGTTTGCACAGAACCCTCTTCACTTAATGTTCCCGTATGTCAGTTAACAAGATGGTGAATACGTTTACAAATATCAAACTATCAGTACTATATGTACTAAACTGGGAATTATCAGGAATTAATCAGGATATTTCACAGTTTAGGCCAGACGTCTCGAGCTGAAAACGAAACTGAGTTGAGCTACTTTGATGTATAATTTGTCGGGCCGCAGGTTGGACAGGCCTTCTCTAGTGAATTCTTTACAGTCTCTGTGTCTGTCTGTCTGCAGCCTGTCTCTCAGGACTGTCTGAGGTCAATATGCCGGAGAAGGGGAATTTTTTTTTAAAAGCTGACTTTATGGGTTGTTATTTTAGTGAATATAGTCAATTTATTGCCAATTTTAAACTCCGAGCCTCCTTCTGGTTTTCTTTAAACTGTGAAATAACAAGGATTCATTTTCCATAAGTAATATTAACATTTCCTCCTACTGTGCTCAGAGCAGCTGTAATATAGTATATAATACTACGGAAGCAGACACAGCTCGCGCAGACTATATACAGTGTAATCCCTGTAAAGGAATGGGTTGGATCAGTGTGGGTGTGTGCGTGTGAGTGTGTGTGCGTGTGAGTGTGTGTGTTTGTGTGTCACTAAGCTGGAAAAGGTTGAGGTGATTTCAAATAAACTCAAATGTTATTTTCATCCAGGAAAAGCCCACACACAATACTCATATTGGCATTGGGCGCACACTTTATTTACATTTTATTCTGCCTGTTCTGTTTCTATCAATATCCTACATTTGTGACTGCGCCATTTACTAGAGGGTGGAGTCATTAATTTTTACAGGTTGATTTGTCACCTCTGTATCCACATCAAAAAATAAAGAGAATTACATTTGCGACCAAGAAACTGAAACATTCCGTTGTTGTAAAACAGACAGCAGATACGTGTTTCCATACTTATAGAGAGAGACGATAGATGGAAAGTCTGTCGGATTTATTCACTAAATCAGGCACTGTGGAAAATCGATATGGGAATTGCAAATTGTAGGCCTGTTCTCCAAGACAGTTTGGTGTATAACCTGAAGATATATCTCTATATAGATTTATTGAAATAATAGCCGCTGTCGGCAATTCGTTCTTGGACAAATTGAAAAATGAACAAAACATTTGTTTGGCGCCATTTCTTCATTCATTGAGCAACTGCTACCATTCTGAGCGAATGAATATTATGCTAACAAATTTTGGCCAAACGAACTAAACCAAAAAGATATTTTTTTTCCATGCACATATCTAATTGTTAATAGTTTATAATGACACATACAACATGAATTAAGTAGACAAAGTTCTATGATATTGTCAGTGTTTTATTCTAGAGTATACAATGTAGAGGTGTGACAGTACCCATTTAAAGCTAAACTTCAAATTTTGGAAAGGGACACCAGTATTGACTGTGGAGTTTCAGCCACTCCCTTGTCAAAGTTTAGTGCAAAAGGTGAAATACCTTCACCGTCAGAGATTAAGAAATGTCAAAACTTTGAGATGAGTCATGTCAAAATGATCTGTAACTTCCAAAACTGAAAAATAGAAAATTAAGCAATAATTTGCATAAAAATAGGGCATGTAATGCCAAATCTGAGAGACCCCGTTTTTGAGTTCCTCATTCTTCCAGGAGAGAATAAGCTGGTAGAATATCCATTGCCTAGCTGATATGGGGTACAATGGTACCATATAATGGCGGTACAGTAATTTGAATTGACTGACTTGTATTTTTAATGGACTCTCTTTGCTGACTGTTAATGGGGTAATCATTGCAAACCTTATAAAAGGAGGAATTAGCCAGGAAGTTGTGAGGACGACGGGCAGGTGAACGGGTCTATAAAGCTTTCTCACGTTGCGATAATGATATCATACGGGTATGACATCATGTGATGCAATTTGTCATATCTGGGTGATGTCATTGACTGATGGAATGGTCGCATTAAACCAGTCAAATCATGGCACCGAGGAAAAATCTGTGAACTCAGGGATTGACCCAAAACAAAGTAATTATGTGTCATTACTGGTCAACCTAAGGAATACACAGCACACGTTTCTATAGGGCAAGGGTTCTCAACCCAGTCCACAAGGACCCCCTACCAGTCCAGGATTTATGGATTACCTGGGTGTGTCTAAGGTGTTTTTATTTTATTTTTCTAAACACCTTAGACACAACCAGGTAATCCCTAAATCCGGGACTCGTAGGGGGTCCTTGAAGACTGGGTTAAGAACCCCTGCTATAGGGGGAAATAGCCGAGAAAAGGCTGACTGTAAAACATTTAATTTTTCATTTTTTTATCATCATGCCAACGTTGAAATAGAAATATATATATATATTTATTTCTGAAGGTGATGGGAAGAGAACTGGACCTTATTAAATGCATTTTGTAAAATAATACGTTTGATTGTTGTGTTTTTAGGCAATTCCCTTGTTTTCGGGAAGAATCCTAGCCACTCAGTCTTCCTTGACTTTCTTTCTTCATATATTTTTAGATTAAGTCTTTTCAGTGTGTCAGGTACAACCATCACACTCCCACTGTTTAGAGGAAAATGTCACAATGGGGTAGTTTTAAGACCAGCTAACAAATGTAGCTTTATTTGTATTTTTTAATGCATAGCTCCATTTTACATTTTTATTTTGATTATTAAAACTACTCTATGACTTCACAACTGTATTTCAACTCTTCAGAAAATCAATTAGGGCAAATAAATTTTTTTACGACAATCTTCTGATACATTGAAATCACTCAAAGGGACACCAGAGGCACCCAGACCACGTCCTCTCATTGAGGTGACCTTATATTTGAAGTTCACTTTCAGTGTTATTTACTAACGTGAGAACTGATGGGAATTCAAAGTGAATTCCAGGATTTAGAGAAAATTAGCCAAATTAGAAAGATCAGTCTCCAAGTCAATTCTGTTTTCAGTTTGTCTATTTTGGCTTTGACTTTGAAGTTCACTGTGAATTCCCTTTAGTAAATAGTCCTGTTGCTGTCAGTGTGTTTTTAAAGACTGTTACACTATGTAGGTCTATCGCATTTTACCAGTATCACTTTGTTCGATATCCCTACTTTTTTCGTCTGTATTTCTCTCTTTTTTAATTGTTTTCCTTTGAAATTCCACAGCACATATTTTGTCTTATCCTTCCCTCTGACCCACCTCGGTGGTTGGCCACTGTGTTTTTTCACGGGAAGTAGAAACAAAGACCGGTTGTGTTAAAGTTGGGGGGAGGCAGGAAACTGAACTCACATGGGACCCTCCTAACTCCAGCCTGCCCCTGAGTCCGACTCCAGCTTGTGGAATTAAACCTGACAGCCTGTCTGGGACACATTCTAAGTAATGGCGATTTAACTATCCCTCTCTCTAGGTAAAAAGAACCGGTAGTTCCTAAAACTGACAAAAACAGAAAACGACTTGTTTTAAGAAAGGTTTATACTCTTGTTTCTTCATGAAGGTCTGTAAAAATAAGAAGAAAATATTCCATATAAAACTTTTACAATACAATGAGAGAAAAAATAGTGAGCTTTCTGGGTATGAGGAGAACGCAACATCCGGAAGATCAGGGACGTAAGCACAAATGACTCAAAATAAAATAAAAAAGGTATACTTAAAAAAAAATAAAAAAATTTAACAGAATTTGCTACTTTCTTAATGTAAGAAATTAGATTGTTCAGCTCCAACCACCCACAAATGTACAATTAGCACAAGCTCTGTTTCAATGTTATTTGTATATCTCTGATTGGTGCACAGGGAGGCACAGAAAAAACATATTTTATTACTTTCTTTTTTTGTAAGAGCTTTTTATTTTAATTTTGCAAATGCCTTTAAAAAAAAATAACAATTGATTTCACGAGTTCATGATGTATTCCCCATATACGGTTTTTATTCTGCAAATAAAATACATTTTAATATATAAAAAAAACTATTGATTTTTTATTTTAAATTAAGCCATTTTTTACGAACATATTTATTCGTAGCATTCGACAAAGTGTGTGTTCTCCTGGCAATATTTAACACAGCCATTCTATTAAAAGAAATAAAGAAAGTAATAGTTTGATCATGCAGACAAATAAAAACAAAAAGTAAGTACGGGGCCTCTAAACAATAACGTCTAAACAATAACTTGTGTTGAGACGGACGCAGAAGTTGTAATTTTTACTTGGAATAGGAAGCAATGATTTATGGAGTACTTGACTACTGTAATCCGCTTCTCAGTGGTCTTATGTGCTCCCAACCTGCGCCGTTACAGTCCATAATGAATGCAGCAGCGAGGCTCATCTTCCTGTCTGCCCGCACCTCTCATGCCTCACCCTTCTCTCAATCCCTACATTGGCTTCCTATAAAATATAGAGCTCAATTTAAAATTCTGGTTCTTGCTTTCAAATCGCTACATAATGCTGCTCCCACCTATCTATCCTCCCTTATACATAAGTATGCCCCGTCTAGGCTTTTACAATCTGCTGAAGACTATCTTCTGTCGGACTCCCACTTCTGATGCTCGCCTTCAAGATTTCTCGAGGGCTGCACCATTCCTGTGGAACTCGCTTCCCTCCTCCGTTAGATGCTCACCCAGTCTCCACTCCTTCAAAAAATCGTTAAAAATCCACTTCTTCATAAAAGCCTATCAATTAAACTGTTAATAGCTCCTGACTGATTCCTCTTCTGCAACTGTCACTAGTCTAATACTATCCTTACCTTTTTGTGTCATTTTACCCCACTTCCTCTAGCATGTAAGCACATTGAGCAGGCCCCTCAACTCCTCTGTTCCTGTGTGTCCAACTTGTCTGGTTATAACTACATGTCTGTTCGTCTACACACTGTAAAGCGCTGCGGAATTTGATGGCGCTATATAAATACCATAATAATAATAATAATAATAATAATAATATGGAGCCGCTATTGTAGTCACGTTTTAACTCCCTTTTTAGTCAATAGTGGAGGGAAAATGTAGATCTATTGATTGTCTTCTCCCTTGCATGGGACCAATAGGACCATTCTATAAAAGTAAAGATCTAACCTTTAATAGCAGTCAAACAAAATGCTGATTTATTTATTGATTTTTAAGGCCTGAAGATTGCTTGCAGTAATGTCAATTTTTATAAATAAATTAGAAGTACAGTGGTACCTCGGTTTACAAACGCCTCGGTTAACATAATTTTCGGTTTACAAATAAAAATCCATTGAAAATAATGCCTCGGCTTACAATTTTTGTTTTGCAATATGAATCAGTTTCCCCAGGATGCATTGCATTTATAGTGCCGCTCCCACGCATGCTGGAGTCTGTGGGTAGCACATGGCATCGAGTGTGGAGGTGGTGGAGCGATTTTTGCATCGAGATTTGGAGCCGTTCTGGAAACTATTTGCAGCGATTTTTACTTTTTTCTGACCTTCGGAACGGATTAATTGGTTTTCAATGCATTCCTATGGGAAACTGCTTTCGGTTAACAAATTTTTCACAATACTAAACGTCCCGGAGAACGCATTAAATTTGTAAACCGAGGTACCACATAGATTGTTCTGAATGATGTGTTTACGTTTCACATGATATTATTTACTGTGTAGTTATATTTATTTTTCTGTGTTGCTATTTTTCTATACACCAACTTGTCAAGTAGCACAGTGTGAAATCAGTCGTACAGTTTAATCTGTCAGCAGACGAGGGAGTTAGGAGAGTTATTGTGACATGCAGGGTGAGTTTCACTTGTTTAAACTTGTCTGTAGGTCATTGGGTGGTAAATCAGGCTTTAATAACCTGTAGTCGAGAGTCAGCATCGCCCAGTGTCCAAGCAGCAGTGATTGGCTGTGCCGATGGCTAGCCTGTTATCTTGGCAAGCATGGCAGACATGCCATCTGTCACACTACGTGCATTCTATACAAGCGGCTGGACAGCGACTCATGGGGTGAGATCAGATTCCATATACTGCTATACAGTGCTTCTGATAGGTGAAGACACTTCCTGGTCTGGGCAGAGATCTGTGATTTTGTTGCTGGGCTGTCTATTTGCAGCATTATGATAAGTGGGTTACATTGTCAGTCCCACATGTTATCGTAACATTACTGAACTTCACATTTTGCAACACGCCAGGAAGTCAGACATATTGAATAATTGTGGTACGGTGTAGTAGATGTTCTTGGACAGCAAGCTGGTTGCCAGTCCCACACACAGACAATACATACACTAGGGATTTGGGGTAAATCATAGGAATGCTAACCGCGACTTAAAGCATCACCAGCAGACTTGAAGGATCACACACATTCTGCATAGTCAGATCAATCAAAATGGCAGCTTGGCTCAGTGTGTTTAGCTGGTCAATCAATCACACCATAGCCTGGATCCTGGACTGTTTATCCAGGACTAGAGAAATGTGGTGGCATGATGCTCAGTAACACAGAAACATTACAGGTGCTGAAAAAAGTATTTTAAAGAGCAAGAAATTTAATATCTCCCTTCCCCAGACTCATGTGAAAGCCAAGTGTCGCTCATCATCAATGTAGTTTAAGGCAGGAGTCTAAGAGTCCGTCATATTTCCTCTCACTGGTGGAAGAACGTGTATGGAATGGTTAATTGAACAGAAGGAACGTTGTACGCTCCTGATCTACAGACATGCTGATTCAGCTAGGCCCAGACAGTACATGGTATATTTCATTCACTTGCCTGAATACATTTGTTCTGATTACTTTTTCACCCATGAATGAGATGTTGAGAGTGGTTGCATTGCACATTTTGAATTCATTTCCTTGAGGAGTTGTTAAGTGGATGCACATGGCCACACTCATTTCCAACATGATTCAAAGAGCAGAGAGGGATTGGCTGACATATCCCAGCCAGTTCAGGTTTTCATCAGAGATCAGTGAAGGACATGAAACCTGTCCTGCTTGGACCCAATGTCCTTCATGACAATATCATTTGCAGCACAAGCTCAATGTCATGCATGAGACTTGGAGATTCTTTTTGGTCCAAACTGTAATTTGTCTGATTTTACGCCGATCAGGTCATTCCTTAAAGGGACACTATAATCACCCAAACAACTTTAGCTTAATGAAGCAGTTTTAGTTTATAGATCATGTCCCTGCAGCCTCACTGCTCAATTCTTTGCCATTTCGGAGTTAAATCCCTTTGTTTATAAACCCTAGTCACACCTCCCTGCATGTGACTTGCACAGCCTTCATAAACACTTCCTGTAAAGAGTCATCTAATGTTTAAACTTCCTCCATTGCAAATTCTGTTTAATTTAACATTTCTTATTCCCTGTACCGTTTAGCTTAACAGACCCTAAAGGAGCCTCCTGTGTGTGGTTCAAGTTCAATTCAGAGAATAGGAGATAAACACGTTTAAAGTAGGTTACATCTGAATGAAAGTGAAAGTTTTTTCATGCAAGCTGTGTCAGTCACAGCCAGGGAAGGTGTGGCTAGGGCTGCATAAACAGAAACAAAAGTGATTTAACTGCTAAATGACAGTGAATTGAGCAATGAAACTTTAGAGGGATGATCTATACACCAAAATTGCTTCTTTAAGCTAAGGTTGTTTTGGTGACTGTAGTGTCCCTTTAACTTTAACTCATCAAAATGTACCGAAATCATAAACCAATCGAACTGCACAACCCTGAGCTGGTTTGTTTCAGGTCATAAATCTGGATTCCACCAGTAGTGCCAAAGAGAAAAATCAATTATGGGAAAAAAAAACATGATGGGCTAGGGGACTTTCACTAAAAATTAATTTTATTCACCGATCAATATATATAAATATCGATTTTAGTTTACTGCTCCACCTGTTTTTACACTATTGGTCACTTTTTCACACTGGGTCTGGAGAGTTGAAAATTGCTACTATCCACTTACTGCAAAATATGTACATAATATTGTACTCTGCGTATTGTTATACCTTTTTAGTTCATGTGATTTGGCTCATGGATTGGGGTTTTTTGGTACCAAAATTCTGCCTGGACTGAGCTGGACTGACAGATGGCTAAATTATGTTTAAGGAAAGTTAATAATAATTATTCATTTTCTTTAAAGCTTATTTTGCATAGGCTAGTGTAGAGCAATACGAGTCTTGCATGATGCATCCTCCATTTAAAATTGAATTGGTGGGAGACGAGGACAATCGCTGCACAGAAACCAATTGACATTAATGAGCGTGTTACGTTCTATGTTGTACAGGTTTTATAGCAGCTAGACTCTCGTTCAGCCGCCAACAGACTCTGGCTGACAGGCCGAGGAACACAGAAACTCTATTCACATCAGTGTATGATATTCAGGGTTATTGTACGATTCTTGCCAGGCTACAGGACGGCTAGTCATTTAGTCTGGCCTATGCCGTTACAACAATCCACTGCAGGACAGGAGACATAAAGAAGTGTTTTGTTATTATGATCAGTGTGAGCAATTCACCATCTACACGTCAGTTTTTATTTAGTGAAGAGATTGAGCGTTTGCACGCGTGAGTTCGGCCAAGAGCGCGTGTCTGGGCAGTAACGTGCAATCTTTGGCAAAGTCGCTTTCTCGTGCTGCTTTATAAATTAAGAGCAGTGAAAGATGAGACACACACACATAATGCCTCTGTCTGGAAAACTGGAAACAGGGGAAAGTTTCCTGGGAGATGGAAACCCCAAATCTTTCCTGTGTTCCTCTGCGATGGCCATGCAGACGCTGCTTGCTGCTGATTTCAAGGGAGCTTGGCCCACGTCCCTGACTATGTCAGACTGAAACTTTCTCTTCTTAAAACACTCTCTCTTTACGTGGGTGGCGTCTGCATCTGGCGCTTAAACCCAGAATACTCTGAAAAACCACGTCCGATTTAACCCATTCACAACTTGAAACACACGTGAAGGGTGCCCATATTCATTTTGTATATATTGTGTATTAATAATGTTTTTGTATTTTATTGTACCCAATTGTATCAATGCCATGTTTTGTGGACCCAAGACATACTTTATAACAAGAGTAAAGACAAAAGCACGTAACACTTCAGTTAAAAAAAATATTTAATATTAAAGGGCAAAATGTTTTTTTTTTAAATCTCTTTTGTCTTGTGTGACAAGCTGTGTGAAACAATGTAACACGCATTTAACTACTGGGGTTATCATTAAACCAGAAATTGTGGAAAATTGGCAAAAAACTCAAATGTCTCCAAAATTCCCTATTTTGTGAATAAACCTAAACTGTTACAGCGCTGCTTTTCCGCCATTTTCTGTCCTTTTTCTGTCCTTTACCCAGCTGGAATTAGTTTCACGACCCAGTCTCCAATTTTAAAATTAAGCCAGTGACACATTATTTAATTCTTATGTAATAGATAAATAAATGAAAAGTGCTAAACACCTTCATTAAACTCCAGAGCCAGAGGGGTCTCTCATGCCCTTAAACAAGGCAGTACTGCCAAACTAACACATTTACTGGGGAGAGTTACCCACAGATGTGAGACTCCAGTTATACACAAACTAATGGAGGTGGTCCAGCAGATGTGCTTGTCCCATCTAGTGGGGACCCAGTGAAATAACATGAGGAGCACATTTGTGGGTCTCATCCTAAGGGTTAAAGAACACAGTGTTACGGAATATTGCATTCTAATGACGATAACAGTATAACTAGTTACTGCCCCTTCAACGACTCCATGCGATTGCAGTTTATGCAAATGGTTACTGTAACAGCAAGAATTATTTTTTTATTAAGGCAGATCATTTACATGAAGACCCAGATAGTGCTTAGATTACAATTATGTATACAGCGCCAACATATTCCTCAGCGGTTTACAACAGGTAAACAAGATAGACGTTTATTTCTAAGAAAAACTGGTTTAAAGAATCGTAAAAATATTGTATGAAATTGGTTCCCATCTATCTTTTTTTATTTTTAAATAATATTCTCGGTTTCTGTGTGTGGTCCCAGGGACTGAATGCACATGTAATATTGCCTGTTTATAACTCAGTGTATTTCGCATGTTAATGTCGTGGGGGCCCAATATTTTGAGGTTCTGAGTAATGTATGAATTTCTCACTGAATGGTGGGTTTTGTCATTAAAAGGAATGGGTTATTAAATATTGATCATTCTCTGGCAGGGAAAGGATTTTAAAAGGAATGAGTCACAATTCCACCTCTAAACAAACTTTAAAGTAATGGCGAACAATGGAGTATTTTAACAGACTGCAAACGGGACACCATTTAGGCCAATAAACAAAGTTGTGCGTATAATGGAGGTGGTTTTCTACACACTGTGGGGTTCATTCACTAAACTCACAACTGTAGTGTACTGAAATCCAAATCACAACATTCTAAAACAGACGAGATGTGTCTGCTGCGGAGGTGGAGAATTTATCCAAATACGCTGGATTTTCCTACATTTTTACATTTGGTTTTCAATTTGGAATTTGATGAGTAAATCTCAAGGGATTATTCACTAAATTGGAAACAAATGTGTTGTTTTCTGTTTGGGCCAAAATGAGAGATTTCCCCATCTCATATGTATTAAAAATGTCTGATATGCATAGGAAAGGTATGGTGACTGCCTTAGCATGATGAGAGCCTTAGCATGACTGCCTTAGCATTCGCTGAGAGGTAACCAGTGTCAAGTAACTGGCATTTCTCAGAAGTACAATATGGAGTTTGGGGACAAGAGAATCTCAAGCCCTTTTTGTAAATTGAAAGTAAAAAAAAACATGGTGTCACTGTGCTGTACGGCAGAGATTATCGTCCCCTGACGGACACTTACTGCTTTCCATCTGGTAAATCTAAATAACGCACATTATCACTGCATGCATATTGATTCCCTGGTAAATACTCGGGTACCTTTGTATAGTTTATAACAAGACAACGTGTGTGTGCCGTGCCCAACATGGTTTTGGGAAACAAGGGCCAGGTCTGGGAGGCTGGTAGAGGGGCACATCATTGGCATTATAGGGGCACAGCTTGGTATGAATGCATGCTGCCCGGCTGTCTCTCTGGTACCTCCCCATGGCTGTAAATTCACAGAGCTCGTCTGGAGTGCTACATCCATTGGCTCAATGCTCTGTATAATGATATAATGGCACTGTGCTGGCTGAGGATAGTTACCTGGTGTTCCCGGATGCAGAACACCAAGGAACAAACTCAAATCTGTAGTAAAGGAACCGGAACCCCACTGTCAGATCCAGGACCGTTGGGAGGTGGGCTTTGTGTCACTTTATGGAGAATGACATTTTGATCCATACTTTGTGCTAGTCAGATCGGTAGAATATGTATAGAGAAAACATTATCCTGCTATACAGTTTATTACCTTTATTAGACTGTGTGTGTATGAGAGATAAAGGCTACAAAGACAGGGACCAAAAAAGGTTTTGCATACAGCAACCACACCTGATGCAGCAACAACCACACCTGATGCAGCAGCAACCTCCAACTGAGGCAGCATTAACCTCCAGCTGAGACTGCAGCAACCTCCAACTGAGACTGCAGCAACCTCCAACTGAGGCACCAGCAACCTTCAACTGAGACTGCAGCAACCTCCAACTGAGACTGCAGCAACCTCCAACTGAGGCACCAGCAACCTTCAACTGAGACTGCAGCAACCTCCAACTGAGACTGCAGCAACCACCAACTGAGACTGCAGCAACCTCCAACTGAGACTGCAGAAACCTCCAACTGAGGCAGCATTAACCTCCAACTGAGACTGCAGCAACCGCCAACTGAGGCAGCAGCAACCTCCAACTGAGGCAGCAGCAACCTCCAACTGAGGCAGCAGCAACCTCCAACTGAGACTGCAGCAACCGCCAACTGAGGCAGCAGCAACCTCCAACTGAGACTGCAGCAGCCTCCACCTGACGCAGCAGCAACCTCCAACAACTACCAATGTCTCCCTCTTGCTAGGAATAGTGGAATTGTGATGGCACTGCTTGGGCTTAGAGTGGCTGTGTTCACCTACCCCATCCATTCCATGACATTGTTTTACAGGTGGAGAAAGAGATCCAATGTTGGGTGACGGTGGCAGGAGAGGGGGACAGGTGACGGGGGCAGGAGACATTACACATAATTTATCTGCCAATATTTATTCTTTAAGTATGATACAAAAAATACTGTTTGGAGATGCCTACTTGTGCAGTCTGGTTCAGAAATAAATAGTACAAGGAGCTGATTAAATCCCATACATGATATTCTAATAAAACACAATGTAACTGCTAATACTGGCTGACTCTGTAATGCGCACTAATCTATATTCACCATTATATTCATACAGATCCCGCCTATGAGGCAGCCAGGAGATCGGGATGGGGAAATACTGTAAACTCTCCAGTTACCAAAAGTAAGTGGGTTCAATGTTATAAATTACAAATCACAAATAACAAACAATGAGATAAGTAAAAATGTACCAGGGAATCCAATGAATGCTCTGTGAACGCAGAAAAAAGAACCAGCCGCCATTTAATACAACTTTACAGCCATCTACAGAATCCCGGAATCATTAGCCAGCAGGAATTATTTCCTCTGTCCCACTAATGCATTAAATTGAAGAGACACTCAAAGAGCCATCATAATTACAGCTTATTGTATCATTACAGCTTATTATTTTCAGGAAAAGAGCAGTGTTTACTTTGCTGCCTAGGCACGCCTTTAGTGGCAGTCACCCAGACGGCCACTAGGGGTGCTTTCTGTGTTAGTGCTGAACAGTGTCTCCACCTTCTGCATGAAGGTGCTGAACATTCCCCATAGAGATGTATTGACTCAATGCATGTCTATAAGGAGAAGCTGATTGGCATGGCACAGCGTTTTGCCGCGCATGCACAATAGCCTTCCAATACTTTCTAATAGGAAAGCACTGGATTGGCTGAGATCATCAAAATTGATTATCTCAGCCATGAAGGCGGGGCCAGCAACGGCGAGACTGGCATGGAAAAAAAGTTGAACAAAATGCAGCTTTTCAGAGTAAACTACTGGGGGTTAGGGACCTAAACACCTACACAGGCACTATCCGTTTGTATTCCTGAAACTACAGTGGTCCTTTAATTGCACTCGATGAATATTTAGTGCAATTTCAGGCACCAATTTTAGAGATTAATAATATAGACATTGGGTACAAACTTTAAGGGGATTTTTAGTTTTAAAGAAAGGCTAGAAAAACAGTTTTCCGTCACTTTGTTGAGGGAGTGTTTCGTCTGCACCAATGAGGCATTTACTAATAATAATAAAATATGGATTGTAACAAATATATAGTACTCTGTGTTCAATGTTAGCATTCATTTACTAATCAAACAGCGAGTTATTTTTACAAACAAACGGTGATGTTTTAACACGTTATTTTGTGTAAGTGTCTTTACATTTGTTATTTTAGCTTAAACTGGTTTTTCAATATTGCAATTTATTTTTTTTCCCACAACATTTAATTTTACAGTCATTTTTCAGTTATAGCCAGATAGTAAATTACTCCCGTTCTTATAGTCTTTGAAATAAACCCAGTTTGTATCATTTCATGGAACAGAAACCCCAAATAACTCAAACATTGCAGTTCTGGTGATGCTGTGTGTGGCTGATATCTGATGTTTACACTGTTATCTTTCAGCCCCCCCTCTGGGAGGAACCCAAAATGTGAACAAGACTGCGGATCAGCAAAGGACCCAGCCAGGTACTGTGACCCTGCCTGTTCTCTGGATATAATACAGCCATGACTATCTCAGAGTCTCTGTACACCCGAAAGGCAGCATTAACACAATACAGTATAAAAGGGGATATGGGACAAAACTAGAAGTCAGACGTTAACCTCTGATAGTGCGTTATCTGTGCTGATAAACAGCGTTTATAAAAGGGTGTGATATCCCTTCACAAGTCGGGTTATCCCCATATCTGCACCCACTAATACAGTAATGATAGCATTTCATTGCAGTTTTAGATCTGCTTCTCACTTTATAGAGAATAATTCACTTCTTTTGTTGTTGTTGTTTTTGAATCTTTAAAAGTCAGCTATGCTCTTAGTTTAATTAGTCTGGCATTACATTTGAAATTTACTTTGAATTCTCACATTAATGAATAACCCTGTAATTCTGAATGGATTATTCCCAAGTATGAATTGAAATACCATGGGAAAAATAATAATTAAAATGGAAACATTTTGGGGGGGTTTTATTTCAGCCTGATATTTGAAATTCACTTTGAAATCTGGACAGTTCACACTTTGGTCAGTGGGGTTCAGAGTACATTACTGAGCAGTGCTGGTTAAACATGAGCGTGACCTTGACTTCCCAGTTAAGAAATATAGTTTATTACATGCGCAGAGGTGCGAAGCCAGCCACTTGTGGGGTTCATTGGATAATCACAAAGTTGACATGTAACATTTCAGCAAAAACAACAGCCTTACAGCTCAGTAAACATGTGACTATATGCAAATGAATTGTTAGAGAAACCCACATTGGTTCCAGCAATGAGCATAATTTACATAATATGCCTTTGGCATCACACTTTGATGTTTATTTACTAACTTGTGAGTTATCATGAATGGCCTGGTCAATCAGGGTATACCTCTCATACAAACCTCTTGTGCAATATTGCAAATTATTATTATTATTATTTTATTATTATTTTTATAGCACCAGAAAATTCCGTGTTGTGTGGCTTTTTTTACGGCTACTTAATGCTAATAGTGAACGTTTTATTTCATTCATGCTTGGACAAATCTCATTACATCTCTTTTATTTTAGATCCCTACCAAATCCTGGGACCTACAAGCAGCCGGTTAGCAAATCCTGGTGAGCAAAATACACTTTATTTACATGTTGAGGGATTTTGTTGTTAAAATTTTTACTAAAATGAAAATAATTTCATGGATAGAATGCAGCAATATGAGTTTCTCAATTATTTAAATACACATATAGGCTTTTAAACTAATTCAATGAAAGTTATGAATTGTCTTTATGGGATCTGAAAGAGATGACCAGTAGCCCAATTGGGAGCTAGCCAGAGACCTATTTTAATTGGAGTATTCCATGTCTTTCTGTTCAAACTGAAGGTTTGTATCAGGGACAAGAAGGGGTGCAACAAGGTTGGGAGAAGAGGTATTTATGAAAGAGGATTGATGCTTTTTTTAAAAATCCATTTAATTGAGTTAAGACTTTTCCTTTTAAAAAAACAAACTAGGTTATTTGTGAGAGTGTAATTTTGCAGAAATTCACCAAATTTTAGTACAAAAAGAAAAACTTAAATAAACACTTTAGTGAATAACTCTGACAGTCAAATTCTGCTGCAGATTATTATTTTCTTAATTTGTAAATAAAATATATTGTTTTCATGTGACTGCGCTGATCTTGTCCTTCTCCGGACTCGTTTCAGGAAGCGGTCAGATCCAGCTGTGGCAGTTCCTCTTGGAGCTGCTCTCCGACAGTTCCAATGCCAGCTGTATCACCTGGGAAGGCACAAATGGAGAATTCAAAATGACAGACCCGGACGAGGTGGCCCGACGCTGGGGTGAGAGGAAAAGCAAGCCCAATATGAACTACGACAAGTTAAGCAGGGCACTGAGATACTACTACGATAAAAACATCATGACTAAGGTTCACGGCAAACGTTATGCCTACAAATTTGACTTTCATGGTATTGCCCAGGCACTTCAGCCTCACCCCACTGAGACATCCATGTACAAATACCCATCAGAATTCTCATACATGCCTTCTTACCATGCCCACCAACAGAAGGTTAATTTTGTCCCATCCCACCCTTCCTCTATGCCGGTGACATCATCTGGGTTCTTTGGAGCAACTTCACCCTACTGGAGTTCACCAAGTGCAAATATCTACCCCAACCCCAATGTGCCACGACACCCCAACAGCCACGTACAGCCACACCTGGGTAGTTTTTATTAGACTCAGTTCCAGAGAAGGTGGTTTGGTGACTTCATCAATGGCTTTACCGTGCCAAAGATCTCCCTCTTTGTTGGATAAAGTGTGGCTATGGAGGCAAAAAGTGAACATAACTGGATAAAAAATCCTGCATTTTGGCAAATGTGCCTTTATTCTTTCCTAACAGTGAAAATGGATCTTTGTGGGCCAGTATTATACCGCATTTATGTTTGCATTCATGTGGTTTCAGGATAAGCTCATTGAAGATCTCGGTGTGTGATTGGGAAGAAAGCCACGTCTTCATGTGCTGCCAAACTTAGCATTGGATCCGGTCAGTGAGCTATTTACTTTAACAGAGTCATTTACGAAAGTGAGAATTCAGAGTGAATTAAAAATTTAAGGCCATAGTAGTTGAATTGGAAGAATAGCTGACTTAGAGAATGTTTCATTTCGACTAGTATGACCTCAAATTTTAAATTCACTTTGAATTCTCTCTTTAGTGAACCCTGGAAATATCCCTTTTTATATTTTTTTGTTTATTTTTACCTTCTGAATTCTGATTTTGACACATTTTTCTCAGACGCACTGGATGGCAATAGGAAACCTTTTAAACCAACTGGAAACAAATGGAAGTATTATTATAAGTATAATGACCGTAAGGGCGTGTTATATCGCCCTTTGGAATGTACAGAGACCACTCTGAATATAGCTTTATTTAACTGGGGGCACTGCCCTTTCAATGCAAAATGTTTACTCATTTTATTCATACATTAAACTGTAAGCAGAGCATCTTTAGCGCAAAAGAACAATTTAACTATGAAAATGTTTGCAGTGTACGCCTGAAGACAACACCGGCTGCAGATTAAAGTGTGGGTAACGCCTTAACATAAATGGGTTGTGTAGGAATCATCACAAATAGGCAGGTTTATATATGTTTGTAAATACTTTTAAACTGGCCCTTCATGCTTAAAGAGTTATTGTAATCATCATTACCACTAATGTCTGCTGTTTGCAGTCTAACCTGACTCTGCCAGGCTCCTGGTCTCCTCTGTAGGCAGGTTTACAACATCGGCAGAGCTGATATCTATCCTGCCCCACATTCATTGGTTGAGACCACTTATATCACTGAAGTGGTAATGGTGTCTGGAGTAACTCTTTAAGGAGCCTTGGGAGCTATAACAGTTGGTCAAGGGTTCGCTGAGGAATCTAACCAAGGTGAAAGTGTTTAGGGCAGTGAGGTTAGGAAGGGGAGGTGGAATAAAGTGAGGTTGATTTTTCCATCCATGTACTGAACTGGCTCTTACTTCATATGAAAACAATTGGTCTTTAAATATCACGTAGAACGTGGACTAGCAGGCAGGGTACAGACAGCGGAAGCTTGGGAATACGGTTATATTTAAATATACTAAAGGTGACCATTTAGAAGGTTTTACCCCAGGGCACAATTTATTCTGATTGGACGATCAATGACCATAAAATACATTAATGAGAATAAACTAATGGCAGCCCCATGTTTGCTGTATGACGCCAAGTGCCTTAAACTCTAAAAGTAAAAACGTTTACATATATATTTAAACCTCCAAAAAAATGAATTTAAAAGCGCCTCACAAATAAGAGATGGTGACACGTTTCGAGGCACAAAATGTAATGTATACATCATGATTTGCTAAAATGATTAAAATTTATTTTTATTTTACCTGAAGCTAACCTAGATATGCGCATGAAAAGGCAACGTGTCACTGTCTTATAAAAGTTTATGATCTGTTTCCTACACCAAGAACCCCTTCCTCGCCTTGGAAAATCATGGTGGATGATGACAGGCGGGGAAAGGTTTCAGCAGTATTTATCTTGCGAGTTGATGTAGAATACAGATCTGCAACTGTAGGACTCTGCTGGCAGACAAACAACATGCACACACTCAGCGGACCAGGCAATTAGAGTTAGCAAAACAAGATTTTGTTTTTTGAAAACCTTTTTTCACTCTTTAGGGCAGAATGAGAAACCTGACCTTCATCTGCAAATAAGAACACTTGGGGGTTTCCCCACTAAATACAATACAGTGCTGCCAATTGCAGTGAATTGAAAACCAAGTGGGTGAATTCAGGCTAAATAGCAAAACTATAATTATAGTTGGAGAATTTTTTATCAAATGAAAACATTTTGCCGCATGATTTTCCATTTATTATATTTTGGAGTTTATTGAATAAACCCATTAGCATTGTGTGCCTTCTGTGAAAATTTTGGATAAGAAAGTATAAAAAAAGCACGAAGGAAGTATATTGCGTTATTTTTCACCTGTCGTGAAATAAATACATAATTATCTAGTATAACATATTACTAATAACAGTAAAGTTAGGCAATGCAGGGATTTTGTAGTCTTATTTAACCCCTTAAGGACAGAACTTCTGGAATAAAGGGGAATCATGACAGAATATTAAGGGGTTAAAGATGGGAAAAGGCTCTCCCTCTCATAATTTGATGCTCCCATAAACCCTCTGTAGTCCTCAGACAGTGAGCCATATCGCTGCACAGTGCTCACATTTCACAGGGAAAATGTCTATCCTCTAAAATATGCAAAACCAATAGCGAACTAGAAGCAAACTATAGACTGTGTTTTATTAAAAAAAATGTTTTTTTTTATTGCGAGTTATATAGTGCTACAGACATAAGTGTGTTTTATACTTACCTCTGATGCACTCTAAGCAATACAATAGCATTTGTTTTGTTGAGGGAATGAGGAACTGTCACTTTCAGAGAACTGACGGTAATCTTTAAAACCTTTACTAATTTCAGCAGCCATTTCTGCTCACCATATCAATATAAAGCTGAATCTGTCAGTCATGTTGATTGTCAGTCATGTTGATCATAGATGTAGTTCGGCATTTTCTTTCACCAGCAGATATTTGGCATTTGACCTAGAACTCTCATAAATCCTGGGTACATACCATATTGTCTATTGGATAAATTCAGCAGCACTGTGGCACGTCAAGTGAGCATCATGATTGTCTAAGTCACTTCCTGGTTTGGTAAGAGCTCATCTGGATGCTGTGTGGCACTATCTACATCAGTGTTTCCCAAACCAGGGCCCTCATAGCTCAGCAACAGTCCACGTGTTGTCATAATTTCCAATGGAATAGAAAAGGGATATACAGAAATCCTGCACTGGTCCATGAGGACTGGTTTGGGAACCACTGATCCACATAATGCATTAAAACCCAGAATGGGTCAAATCCAGCCAAGCCTGGGGAGTCTATTAGATTTTTCCCTTCCTCTTTATCACTTATGTTCAGTTTTATAACAAGTAACTGTTATCCCAATATTATGCTGCTTTTGTAATGAATCAACTGCATCAAAGTAGGAACGAAGTATGATCAGGAGGAGTTAGTTCTACAAACATTCTAAAGATTCCAGTATATTGACTTCTAGAATCTTTATTCAACAGAAAAAGTGGAAGTCTGTGGGCTGTTAAAGATCTTTCTTCCAAGTCAATGGTTGTAGCTTTCCATGAATCAACCTCAAAAACTCATTGTTCACAACCACTGTTTGCTCAAATTAGATATGAAAGTGCATTTCTCTAAATTCTGTTCCTGCAATCAGCTACAAAGATACCAGATATCAAACCACCATCTAGATCAGTGATGGAGAAATCAGTGGGGTTCCTCCACTTACTGAACTATAACCCATTATGGAGTTAGTATTAGACCAAATGTAACCAGGTGATTTGGCTAAATTATTGGGACACTACAGTCACCAGAACAACTACAGTGTAATGTATAGTATACAGCTTAACGTATAGTATACAGCTTAATGTATAATATACAGCTTAACGTATAGTATACAGCTTAACGTATAGTATACAGCTTGTTCTGGTGTCTATATACTGTCCCTGCAGGCATTTCAATGTAACAATGCCTTTTCAGAGAAAGGCAGTGTTTACATTACTGCCTAGTGACACGTCCAGAGGCAGTCACTTAGATAGCTACTAGAGGTGCATCGTGGGGCAGTGCTGCACAGTGTGACTGCCATTCAGTGTCTCCACCCTCTGCATGCAGACACTGAACTTTCCTCATAGAGATGCATTGATTCAATGTATCTCTATGAGGAGATGCTGATTGGTGCAGCTTTGCATTTTGCAGAGGATGCGTGACAGCCTCCCAATGCTTTCCTATGGTAACTTTGACACATTTTAAGCCAATGTATCCAAACTGGGAATATTCTCCAAGTAAAAATTACATTTCCCAGGTATAGTGAATAATTCTGTACAAATAAGTCACCAAATGCACTAAAGCCCACATATTTCTGCTAAGAATAATGAATTAACATTGATATTTTTTCCTGGTAAATAACATATACCACAATGTAAATAAATGCTACAACTACAAAACCTGCGATGATATTGTGTGATGAAGGATTAGGGGACCGGAAGTGAGCAGAATGGAGGAAAATATCAAAGAAATGTTTGTGTTTGCGAACGTATGCCTTTTTAACATTTATGTGTATTACATTACCAGAGCCAATATGATAAATCGCCCAATAAGCTCAATTTCCTAAAGTCTTCCAAGATCCACAAAAAAAGGGAAATGTAGGACTGAAACATATTGCCTGGTCCCGGCCCTGCCTCCTTTATGGATTCACAAGCGCTGTGCGTTTGTTAGAACGGTCTTTTGAGATCCTACAAAGTACAGGGCAAAGTTTACTGTATACATTATAAAGGATTCACAGTATGAAGAATCACTGCAGGGGAAGGCTGTGAAGCCGGACAGTCTCCTTAGCAATGGACAGATTAATGACGTTTAGAAACGAGTTGATCTCACAGAAATGAGGGGGGGGTTCTTAGAGAACTGTATTTTGGATTTTTAAAATTTTGTACAGGATTTTTTTTCAGTTATTTTTCTAAACTTTTGATCTTTTTGTACATTTTGGCTTTTTAACTTTGTATTTTCCAATTTTCTCTTTTTGCAATTAAATAAAAATGTAAAACAAAAAATATGTGTATTTTCTTTTTTTTTTTTTATGTTGAAACTCAAACGAGGATACTTTGTACACAAATCCACCAACCTTCCCAATCATAAAGCTTTCATCACCCTGTGTTAATCACACATCACTGTCCCCACCGAGGTAGAAGGCCACCTGCTTTTACATCAGCCAAAATCATTGTGTGTCTGATATCAATATGTTCTGAAAATATTCATGCAGATAAAAAAATGCAGCATTAATCACTATGTGATTGTAGTTGAGATTGAGGGTCTCAAATATAGAGTTAATACTATGGCTATAGTTACCACTCTACTGGAAATAACAGGGCTTCCACTAAAAAGTCACAAAGTGCAATAGTTAAAGAATAGTATTAGATATGATCTAATGGGTATCCAGGAGTGGCTAATGGTGTATACCTTTAAAAGTTAGAACAGGATCTCATATACGAAAAAAAAAAGATATATATATATATATAAGCAGTTAAAACTGAATATGTCTCAATAGTTTTCCATAAAACTTAATATGATGCTGTGAAAATAAAAGTCCAAATGGATACAGTCTCTGTTTGATACAATTATCAAATAAATGAACTGATACAGTCTGTGCATTGTTAGCTAGTCTCAGTTAGCTCCAGCTATTAAACCAGCTGGGGTTTGTCTACTGAACGAGCTATATTGATATAGTACAGTACTAATGATGTCTTCTTCAAATGATACAGTATCAGTGTATGTACACTGCATATGAATAAATATCAGCACTTAAAGAGCATATATAGTGATCATAAGTTATAGCTGTGTTTAATCAATATAGTTAGATGCAATGACATGTTATTTTGGGATAATACACAGGAATACCTTCATATGACAATACCATTGGCAGGCATTTATGGTTTAACCCCTTAAGGACCCAACTTCTGGAATAAAAGGGAATCATGACATGTCACACGTCATGTGTCCTTAAGGGGTTAAACTTATTTTATTTGGAAGGAAAGGAATCTTACAGAGGTTTACAATATGATTATACAAATATCTAAACAAACAAACACACACACACACAATACAAAGGAACAGAACTATTCATTAAAAGGACTGTACAAAACATGGGGTCAGTTATCTGGAATTGGGGAATTTTCCCTTTCAGTGCAAACATTCTTTACACTAAGAGCCATACAGTTATTGAACTCGATGCCTAGAGAAATTTTGCTCTCAAACTAAACAGATGCTTCTAAATTGGGTTACATGCTCGTTAGTAAGTGCATTATTATAATAATTATAGGTAGTGGATCCAGGGGAAATGTTACTGCTATTATGAGACAAGAATGCATCTCTTCTGATTTCAGGGGACAACTGTAAATCACAGCTTGGGGTGAATAAATGATTGAATGTGATGAATTAATGATTTTTATGTTATTCTGTATGTTTCTTATCAAAGATACATTGTTGCATTTCTGTTTTGTGTGTTCTACTTCCATTCCAGGGAACACAACTGGTCAATTGTGAAATAGACAAGATTACATAAAACGTATCATTATGTAATCTCCGCGTACCTAAGTAATGAAAAGAATAGTTTTTTTCCATTCTGCTAGTCAAAGTATTTATTTTTCCCATAATTTTCCCTTGTTCATGAAAACACTGTCAGCTCGGTAAGATGAGTGCACATTAACTTCAATGAGTCTTCACTTTGGGAGGTTACTCGTGGAAAATGTCCGTTAATCTGCGCAATATGCTCTGAACGAGCCTTTACAGAAAGCAGCTGTGATGTCAGATGGAAATTATCATAATCAAACTATATGAATTGGGTTTAGTTATGGAACACTGACTTGTACTGAACTGAAAGGAGAATTTCACATTTTAGCTTAAAACTAGTTGGTGGTGCTTATAGAAGTTATATAAGGCTTGTTGTCATTAGCTTGGCTAATATAGCTTGGATGCTACATCTAAGTGCTGCTTCTAAGTGTGTGCTTGGAGATATTCGGGAGATTAACGGAAGGTAATCTGAGGTAGACAAAAAATGTTTTTTTTTAAACCTTAATATTTGGTTGATTGAAATTACTCACCTTATTAATATGGCAGACTTAGTTTAGTGTAATAGTTGTTATGCATTTGTTTCACATTCCCTTATTTGGCTGTCCATACCCCCCCACCTCGCGCACACACCGGTAAACTTTCGACCTCTGCCCGTTCCTGTTCCCAACCACCTGCAAGAACAGCATTTGGGAGATTTGTTTTACCGAACAGGGGGAGCATTCGTATCTTGAAAGCTAGAGATTCCCTTGTATGGTTCTCGCACAGGAACCTCAGGAACGGAGACTGTCCAGGACACCTATTTCTCTGGAACTATTTTGGGCTAGTGCCTCATGTCTTTTATCACAATGGCATTCCCGTTCTGCCGTGATTCTTGGATATGTTGATCACTCAAGTCGGGGCTATCGGGCAATGTGCTTTTTGTGGGGTTCCTATATATGGTTGGGGTACAAGATATTTTGTGGATTTTCTGTGCCTGGGAGATAATTAAATTAGATGGGTTTACTCAGGCAATTATCTCTCAGACACAGAGGATTTTGGGATTGAATCCCCTGCATTTTCAGCTTGTGAAACCCCTTGCATGAGACTGGGCATAAAAACCGTGTATGTGTGAATAAAATTCAGTTATACCCCAGAGCTGAGTGTTGTCCAGTTGCTGGGGATGAGGTAGGAGATTCTTGAATTGTATTGCTTGTTCCTGACAATATCTTGGTGTATGAGCGGAGAAGAGTCCCTGTTAGGACAGGGCTCCGCTACAGGGGTAATGTTGATGTGGGAGGGAGTGTACTGGGAGGGGGGTGATAGTGAGGGGCATACAGGGATGGAGAGGGTTATGGTGGTGTGGGAGTATACTGAGAGAGGGGTGATAGTGAGGGGGAATACTGGGAGGGAGGAGGTAATGGTGGTGTGGGAGGGAGTATGCTGGGTGGGGGTTGGTAGTGAGGGGGATACTGGGAGGGTTTGTAGGGGGGATACTGGGAGGGAGTAATGGTGGTGTGGGAGGGAGTATACTGGGAAGGAGGGGGTAATGGTGGTGTGGGAGGGGGTTGGTAGTGAGGGGGATGGTGGTGTGGGAGGGAGTATGCTGGGAGGGGGTTGGTAGTGAGGGGGATACTGGGAGGGAGGGGTAATGGTGGTGTGGGAGAGGTATACTGAGAGGGGGTGATAGTAAGGGGGGATACTGGGAGGGAGGAGGTAATGGTGTGGGAGGGAGTATACTGTGAGGGGTGTGATAGTGAGGGGGGATACTAGGAGGGAGTATCACACACACACACACACACATCACCTCAAGCATCCAGCACATCTCACACACAGCACCTCTTACACACACAGCACCCTTCATACGCACAGCACTTCACACACACGCAGCACACCTCACACACACATAGCACACATCACACACACAGCACCTGAGACACACAGCACCTCACACACACAGCACCCTTCACACACACAGCACCTCACACACACAGCAGCCCTCACACACAGCACCTCTCTCACACAACACCTCACACACACAGCACCCCTCACACACAGTACACTTCACACAAAGCACCTCCAAAACAAACAGCACCCATCACACACACACATCACCTTACACACATCACCTCACACACAAAGCAGGGAGGGAGGGGGTAATGGTGGTGTGAGAGAGGTATACTGAGAGGAGGTGATAGTGAGGGAGGGAGGCGGTAATGGTTATGTGGGAGGAGGTATACAGGAGGGGGTGATTATAAGAGAGAATACTGGGAGGAAGGTGGTAATGGTGGTGTGGGAGGGGGTATACTGGAGGGGGGAGATAGTGAAGGGGGATACTGGGAGGGAGGGGATAATTTTGGTGTGGGAGGGAGTATACTGTGAGTGGGTGATAGTGAGGGGGGATACTAGGAGGGAGTATCACACACACACAGCACCTCAAGCACCCAGCACACCTCACACACAGCACCTCTCACACACAGCACATCTCAAACACACAACACCCTTCACACACATATCACCTCACACACAAACAGCACCCCTCACACACACACAGCACCTCTCACACACACAGCACCCCTCACACACACACAGCACACTTCACACAAAGCATCTCCTAAACAAATAGCACCCCTCACACACAGCACCTCTCACAAACACAGATAGCGCTTCTCACACACACAACACCCTTCACAAACAAGCACCTCACACACACACACACAGCACCTCTCTCACACACACATCACCTCTCACACAAAGCACCTCTCACACACACATCACCTCTCAGACACAGCACCTCTCACACACACAGTATCTCACACACACAGCACCCCTCACACAAACACAGCACCTCTCAAACACACAGCACACCTCATACACAGCATATGTCACACACAGCACTTCACACACACAGCACTCCTCACACACAGCGCCCTTCACACAAAGCACCTCCAACACAAACAGCACCCCTCACACACACAGCACCTCACACACACACATCACCTCTCACAGCACCTCACACATACACCGCATGCCTCACACACAGCACACTTTACACAAAGCACGTCCAACATAAACAGCACCCCTCACACACACAGCACCTCACACACACACAGCACCCCTCACACACACACAGCACACTTCACACAAAGCATCTCCTAAACAAATAGCACCCCTCACACACAGCACCTCTCACAAACACAGATAGCACTTCTCACACACACAACACCCTTCACAAACAAGCACCTCACACACACACACACAGCACCTCTCTCACACACACATCACCTCTCACACAAAGCACCTCTCACACACACATCACCTCTCAGACACAGCACCTCTCACACACACAGTATCTCACACACACAGCACCCCTCACACAAACACAGCACCTCTCAAACACACAGCACACCTCATACACAGCATATGTCACACACAGCACTTCACACACACAGCACTCCTCACACACAGCGCCCTTCACACAAAGCACCTCCAACACAAACAG